ATGTGAAGGCCTGGCATTTATTAAGCCACCAACTGAAAAGTAAAGCTGGCTGTCAACTTCACTTTTATAAACCCAAAAAGCTATGTAGCACTTTACAGTTTACAAGGTATCTGCATATTGTTTCAGCCTTAGGTAGACACTGCTGGTGACCTGAGTCCCAGATCCTCAGTTCCATGCATCTGCTGCATGGCTTCCCACTTTTCTACTTGAGAACTTTTTCTGAATCTAGAGCCCATGGCAACCACACACAGAGGGGCAGGGAAGTTCATGCCTCAAGGAGTGTCACATTCTCCCAAACTGGTGGCAACAACATGCCCCATTCCACATGCTCTTTTTTTTTTTAGGTGTTTTACATATTTATTTGTTTATTTAGGCTGTGTTGGGTTCTTCTCTGCAGTGCACCCACTTCTCTAGTTGCTACACGCAGGCTCTAGAGCACATCTGGGCTCAGTATTTGTGGAGTATGTGCTTAATTGCAGTTTGTGGGATCCTAGTTCACCAATCAGGGATTGAACTCAGGCCCCCTGCATTGGGAGCACGGAGTCTTAGCCACTGGGCCACCAGGGAAGTCACTCCACATGCACTTTTAACAATGTGACTTTAACACTCCTCCCTTGGATAGGTGGGCTATGTTCATGTCCCTTGAATCTGGGAGAGCTTGTAACCATGGCAGAAGAGATGTTACGTAGCTCCCGAGGCAAGGTCATGAGGAAATACAGCTGCCATCTGGTTCCCTTGGGATGCGTGCACCTAGAATCCAGTTGCCATGCTGTGAGGAAGCCTAATCAGCCCACATGGAGAGACCACACAGAGAGGCCACCTGTAGGTTCTGGCCAACAGTTCAACTGAGGCCCTGGGCAATAGCCAGCCTCTGCTGCCAGACGTGAGAGAACCAGTCAGCCTCCAATGATGCCAGCTCCCAGCTGTCAAGTCACCCTCAGCCTGCACGCCTACCCAGCAGAGGCTCAGACACTGTGGAGCAGTGGCAGATCATTTCTGCTGTGCCCTTTCCAAAGTCCTTATCCACAGACTCACCTACACAGTAAAATGGCAGTTGTTCAATATTATAAAGTTCGGGTGGTTTTTAACACAGGGATAGAAGCTGGAAAAGGGAGCAAACAATGAAGAACAGCAGCTTTTGTATAAATGTTCCAGCCTCCTGTTTCCTGGGCAGATAATTCTGGGAGGCCTTATGGAAGGGCTAGGTGGGAACATGACCCTATTAACTTAAGGCAGTTACCTGGATTCCTCTCCCTTCATTGGATTTCCTCTTTCCTGGTCATACTTGCCCTGCTCCCTCACCCTGCTGTTGGGGTCACCTCCTAAACAATCTATCTACACACAAGTCCTGTCTAAGACCCTGCCCTCTCAGAAATACAGCTACAACTAGCCTTATGTCTGCCCTAGAAGCAGTTTTGTCCCCATTCCCATTTTTCAGATGAGAAAACTGAGGCACAGAGAGGTGAAGGACTTGCTCCAGGCTGTACGAAGAGTAAGAGGCAGGGTCAGGATAAGAATCCAGGCCTCTGGCTCTGGATGCAGCTAAGGAATTACGAGTGAGGGCAAGCAGGCTGGAGAAGCTCTCAGAAGCTTTGCAAAAGTTGTTCTCAGGGACATGGTGGTTGAAAGGATGTCTTGCAATTTACTCAGTTGAACTCCTGACCTCATTTGCAGTGTCAGATGAAAAGCAAACAGCAGACCCATGGGCCACCAGACAGAGACCACACCCAGGAAGCCCCATGCATCTTACCAGCCCCAGGTCAGGAGCACTTTTCAGGTCACTCCCATTTCAAGATCATATGATTCAAAAGCATTCCTTTTTATAGCATTAAATAGATTGGTTTTTAAAAATATATTTATTTATTTGTTCAACTGAATCAGGTCTTAGTTGCAGCAGCTGGAATCTTTGTTGCGGCACGTGGGCTTAGGTGTCCTAAGGCATGTGGGATCTTAGTTCCCTGAACAGGGATCGAACATGAGTTTCCTGCATTGGAAGATGGATTCTTAACCACTGGACCACCAGTGAAGTTCCTCAATTAGACTGTCTATTAGTAAATTTAAGTTTCACAATTCAAAACTTACTCCAAAGATCAGCATGAAGATGTTCTTTCAACAAGTTTCTAGGAAATCTGTTTATCAAGTACTTAACTATAAGTCAGGTACTGTCCTAAGCACACTAACCTATTAGGAATCATCCTTATTTACAAACGAGGAAACTAACACACAGAGAAATCAAGTGACTTGCCCAAGGTCACACAGTTTGTAAATGACAGAGTAAACAGTAAAAAGAGCAAATGGTAAAAGTGTAAATGACAGAACACTGACCAGTTTGGTCAGCCTCTGAGAGCCTGAGCTGGAAGCAAAGGCCATAGAACCACACAGAAGGAAGGAGCCAGGGGCATAAACTCAGGGCTTGCATGCTGTGAAGGGGGTTGCTGTGGACTATGGGAGCCAGCTCCCTGCACCTGGCAGTCTGCCACCCTAACTAGTCCAACAGTGTCACTCTGTGGATGAGGAGCTAAGACTCAGAAAGGAACATGCCAAGGAACACAGCTCCTGAGAGGCTAGAAACAGACCCCAGACTCTTTGTCTGCACTCTACATCCTTCACAGAATGGAGACCCCTGGCTCAAGAAGGGCAAGTGGGAGGTGTTTTAGATTTGAAGACCCAAGGCAGGTGCTAGGCAAGGGGCTCTGGCCAAGAGGAGTCAGGGATTAGCATGTGACTGGGATAGGAGGACAGGCTGCCCTTTAAGGTTTGGTTTGAATATAGAACCAGCAAAGGCAGTGTTCTTCGCAAGCTGAGAGGCACGTCCTTTCGTTGAGATGCCAGTCCTTGGTGAACTGCTTATTGTCCTTAGAAGGCTGTTCCCTTGCTCAGGGAATTTCCAGAAGCCTGAACCTATTGATGTCTCCCTTGCCATCGCCCTCTTCTGGACACTCTTAGCATTGGCATGGATGAGGGAGAGGTCAAGGGGTTGGGAGGACAGACAAGGCTGTGGAGGATGCTGGAAGCTGGCTGAAACCCTACACCTACTTTCCTAGCCCTGCCCGCCCATCCCATCCCATCTGGGAGGACTCGCAGAACATGCATGCCCTGGTTATCTAGCAATTTCTCTAAAATTACTGGGGGAAAATGAGGCCCCAAGCTGCCTTAGTGTTATTCCACAAAGCCAAGTCCAGCAGCTGGAGAGCTCCCAGACAAGACCTATATCTCTTTCACCTAGATTCACAGGGCCCAGATCAGCACTCAGCGTCCTAGAGGTGCTCGATACCTTCCCCAGCACACTGACTGCTACCCCAGTCCAGGCCCACACCGCCTCCCACAGGCCCCTGGTTCACATCCAGTAAAATCCAGGATCTGACAGGTGCAGGTGATGGCTGGTGGCTGATCCACTCCATTTAGCCCCCCTCCCAGTTTTGCATCCTCAGTGCCATTCTTCTCAGGCAAGGCCACCATTCACTGCTCCAGAGGCTTTTCAAGCCTGGTTGGGACCTAGGTCCAGTGAGAAACGGAGACACCTCAGTCAGGACATGCTACCTGTGGATGTCCTCTCAAATTACCCAGGGATCAACTCTTTGTCCTCCTTCCTAACTCAGAAATCCCACAAGGTACAGCAATGGACTGTTATTCTGGAGAAATCTTCCTTCAGGGTAAAACCAGGCCCTCAAGCCTGGTATGATCGGCACCCTCCACAAGATTCTCAAGTCTTACACTCTCCTAGGTTCTCTGGCCTCCGAGTACCCTGGTCTGCCCCAGATTTCACCGACTTCTGACCTGTCCAACCCAGAGCCTAGACTACACTGGCTGCGGTAACAACAACACAAGCAGTGTCTTCATCATTATTCCATGTGCAGATAATTTCCCCATAAATTATCTGAGACCTCCGACAATTACTGTCCCCAATGCAGAAGAGAAAACGCAGCCTACTAGAGGGAGACTGAGCCTCTCCAGGGAGTGAGGGGACTGGGCCCACACTGGCCCAGGGCACGCCCTCATTCAACAGAAGTAAAGCACCTTGCCCTTCTGTGCCTGGAGGATGCGAGCTTCCTTTGGTCCTCTCGTCTCTTCGGGCCGCCCACAGAACCAGCCTTACCCTGCCCAGAGATAAACACCTCTACCCGCGGCCCCGGGCCAGGAGCTGCTCGGTGGGCTTCAGACCAACCCTCTCTGGGGAGTGTGAGCACCCCTCGGTTCCAGCTGGGAACTGCCCCAGACCCACGGCTTTCTTCGGAACATGCGCTCGGGCTTTGCAGCGGCTGAAGCCGCTACCCTTGGGACACAGCTCCAGCGGGAAACTGGAGCTGCAGCGCCCGGGCCACGATTAGCGCCAGAAAGACCCGCGCGTCCTGGGGCGCGGCTTCCTGTCCGGATTAGAGCACCTGACAGCTTCCATCTCTGCCCGCCCAGGACGACCCCCAGCCGCGACCACAGAGCGGGCTACGCGGAAGTCTGCAGCAACTCGAGTCCTGCTCATTCTCCATCGGCTACCGCTTTCCTTTTGCCTGCTGTGAAGCTTTTCGCTTTTTAAACTCTCTTCCCAAGAGTAACCACAAGATCTTGGGAAACTTTGCGTGAAACTTACAAATGCCATGAAATCGGAGCTCAGACTCCGTCTGAGCCTGGGAACGCCGCGCCCAGCCCGGTTCCCGCCCCTCTGCTCCAGCTCAGCGCGTCCGGCGGTGGCCCGTGGTGACCACCTGGCTGTCAGGCGACCCAGGGGCCCGCCCCAGCCCCTGGGCACCCTCTCGGCCTCGGACACTTTGGGAACATTTCCGCGGCCGCCACCCGGTGCGCGCCGCACACCAGGGGCCAGGACGTCCCAGCCGGAGAGGTATTTAAGCAGTCCCTCTGGGGCATTGTTTTCCCGGGGTGTCCGGGGGATCTCAGCGGAGGGGAAGGGTGGCCCGCCCCCACAGACTGCCGCGCTGGCTTGCCCACTACCTCGTTTGCATTTCAAAGGCAAACTTCTGCCGGACTTCCCCGGCTGCGGCACCTACCGGCTTTGCACGGATCATGGTAATGCTCCAGCAGCTGCTCCGCGCTCTCCTCGCCTTCCAGCGCCGAGGAGTCCCAGGTGGCGTCCGAGCGCTCCCCGAGCCCCCCGGCGTCGCGGGGCAGCGGCAGCAGCAGTAGCAGGAGGGGCAGCAGCAATGGCACAAGGGCCCCGAGCACAGTCACACGGGGCATGGTTGCGAGCGGCCGGCCAAGACCGAGGGAGTTGAGTGCACCGAAAGCAGGACTCTCGGCTGAGGGACCGCGTACAGAGTCGGGTCGGTGGCAACCGGCACGGCGATTACGCGCGGCTGCGGGGCATGGCTCGGCCGCGGAACCCCCAGAGCGCGGCGTCCCGGTCCGCGTCCGCGCGCCTAGGAAGCCGCTGCTCGAAGCTACTTGCTCGGCGGCCGAGGCTGCGGCGGCTGCGACCGTGGCAGTGGTTGGAGCAGTGGCCGCTCCGCCCCTCTCCACCCGGGCTGGACCGCACAACCCTCGCCAGGGGCCCCGGGCAGCCAATCACTCGGGCGCCCGAGGCGAGGCCCCTCCTCTTCCCGGCACCTCCGCAACTTCGGAGGAAGGGGAGTGAGGTGCAGATGCTGAAGGCAAGGACCCGGAGCCCGCCGAGCTCCCACCGAGCCTAGGGCGCCCTTCTCTGGGTGTTACAGCGGCTCTGGCCCACCCTCCCTTCAACGCTGCTCCTGAAGATCAAGGCTGGACTTCCCGCCTTGCTTTATTCTCAAAATTCACTTTACAACTCCCGGGTGCACACGTGGGTGAAGACAGGAGGTAGTGGCTAGAGCTCTGAGCGCCGGACCAGAAACCCAATGCGGGCGATTCCCATTACCAGCTCGCTATGTGCTTTTCGGAGAATCATTTCCCTGTAGGGATGAAGCGAATCTTCTCTTTGGGTCATTTTTGGCGCAGGAAAAAAAAACACACACACAAAAAAACGACGATTACGATCCTCTCAGCTTTCTCCACATTCCCTCGTCCAGCCGTGACCGGCGCTTGCTGCAGTAACCACCTAACCTAACGTATGGTGATATTGAGTGGCTTAGAATATGATTTTAAAATGACGGATTTCCCCTCTACGTGACCCTATCCTTTAGGAAAACAGTACAAGACGATTCATACAGGGAAAAAGATTGACAAATGAACAGCTGTACCTACTATTTGTGTTAAATTACAGGCATGTTTTATTAAATAAGCCACTCACCATTAACTTGATGGAATAAAAACAACCAATTTCTGAAGTCTGGTTAATTTTTTGCTAATTAAAAACATATGCCCAAATAATGTAAGAGAATAATCAAGAGATATTTGAAACCCCCTCCTATGCTGTACCTTAAATGTAAAAATTGTTAAGACTGAGCCAATTTGATTTATAGACATAAAAACGCTATTACCAAGAGGCTTTTCAAAGACCTTTCTACAAAAGCAAAATTGCCCCCATTAAGAAGTAAAATACATCAATGTGTAGTCAGCATCACACCCAGTAGAATCTTTTTTCCATTTAAACTGCAAGCAGAAAAAGGGGCCAAGATTTCCTTTGTGATTTCCACATGGTTTCACAGCCACCAATGACAAAACAGCAGACAGGGAGCCCAGAGCTGGGCTATACACAGGATTCTGAATTTCTTGATCATCTTGAATTATGATCATCTAATAAGTAGGGTGACAAGTCCTACAACCCAGTAAAGGTTTAACTACTAGGTGTTTTGTCTTGGCCCTTAGAAATGTAAGTTGACCCTGCTTCATGCTGAGCTTTCATCCAATGGGCACATAGAGGATGGAGCCAGATTGGGCAAGAAGAACTGACAGAGGGGAGGGAGTAATCTGGGGCATGTGGGGAGAGGGAAGGGAATGGATGCCACCAAATGGCAGGGAAGACCAAGTGGCCATTAAATAGGTATGGGAAGGAGCTGAACGTCATTTCTGCCTGAACACTGGAAGGAGTCAAACCCAACGCCATAGGTCTCTGCATTTAACCCAGTGAAGGTCACCACCTGTCAGTAGACAAGTCCACAAAGTCAACATCTCAAAAGCCTAACAAACTTCTGTGACACTTTCAGGTCTCCAGATGGCACTAGGCGAACAGCCAACTGGCCTCATTAGCAGGGAATTCCTCCGGAAAATAGACATTACAGGCAACCTCTTGTGCAAGCACCGAGGTTGTGAGCTTTTATTGCCTCTAATCCCCACCTCGTGAGTAGCTGCCAGGCTTCTCACCAACATTCTTTGCCCAAACATTTTGAAGACAGTCATGCTCTGGGATGAGCAAACTGCAGCTTTATGTCAGATGCCCTGTTTGAATGCTATCTTAGAGGCTATCAAACAAGTATGAACAAACTACTTGAGCCATAATACAGAAAAGTTAGAAACAATCGAAAGTGATGGTTAATATTTTTTTCTCAGCTTCATGTTTTCTGATTTCACTCACCACTTTTATGTTTTAAACTCTAATCTGGCTCAAGTAATTTTATAAATGTAGTTTTTAATTTCGATGAAAAAAACTAGAGATAGACTTGGAATAAAAGGCTCTGGGATCTAAAGCCACTCAACTCAGTTCCATTAGTTATTTGTGGGTTTCCTCCTCCACAGCTCATGATCACAAGTCCATACAATTGACCCTTCTCAGTCAGATGTCTGTCATCCACTCAACTCTTTGCTGCTATGCCCTATGCCGAGTTCCACAGCTCTCTTACAGCCGCTCTCAAACGCCTCCACCTCTACCAAGTTTTATCCTCCATAACTACTCCGCAGAGTAGAGGTCCCTTCTTCCTCTTCATGCTTTTCCAGGGTACACCATCTTCTCCAAGGCAGGGAGCAGCCCCTTCAGGGTAAAGAGGGCACTATCATTTGCTGGTTTACTTCTTAGTTTACAAGAACTGACCACTGAGACAGTACTTTGAGTTTTTTAAATATTTCATATTGTTACAATTTTCAGCAGCCGTTTAAAACCTTCTGTGACTGAGACCCCTACTCAAGCCTGTTTAAGGGTGGCACATCAGGCCCTCCATCCACCATCAGACTGTCCTTACATGTGTATCCCAGCCTTGAGCTCTTGCCATCTCCATTATGGCTACTCACATTGCATTAAACATCTTGCATTCATCCTAATAGGGCCTTGCTGCTCCATGTCTTTGCCGGGCACAACTTCGTCACCACACAGGCTGCATCTTCATTGCCAACATTACAGCAGCTACCACACCTATGACACTTAACCTATTTGTCTGTCCCTTCTAGGTCTCTAACCTGTATCAGACCAGTCTTACTCTCTGGACCCTCTCTTCCCTTCAGTGACCTCCAAGGTTAGGTCCCACAATCTTAGTGGCTTACACAGAGCCATAAGAACTGTGACATGGGCCAGTTTAAATGACTTATGTCAAAATCCATCCTACAACTATGTCCTCCGTTTAAAAAATTTGAAACTCCTACCACCTTAAGTATGCAAAACCTTGAAGATAACTTTAAAAACATTTGTAGACTGCATTACCATTGACTCCATGTGTCCCAACACAAATTTATTCCCTCCTGTTCTAATGTTAAAACAGTTGATTAGCTATTTAATAAAAGCTCTCACTGTGAAATTCAGAAGTTGGTTGTATAAAAGTTTCCTCTATTAAACTCCTAGTTTTCCAACCAGACAAAAGTGCCCACTAAAGAGATCTAAAGTACTCAAATTTGCACCAATTTAAACTATTCAGCTAACAAGAATTTCCAAGTAAGGTGTCAACTGGGGCTGGTAATAAAATCAGGGGGAGAAAAGAATCAAGGAGGCTAAAAAGAATTTAAATAACTAGTTAAAACTGAAGATGAAAAAAAGTACAAATAAACTTGGAGAAGTTCGCCACTACTTTTGATATATTAGTAGTACAATAAAAACAATCCCATCCATTGCTATAGAACACTCATTTCCAACGTGATCTCTATGAATATCTCTTTCCATAAGCCGGAGAAGTGACGTCCCCATTTCACAGTTACAGCCGTCAAAACAATAGGACCTAATTTTGATTAATTCTGGGCTAAAAAGGAACTCTTTAGCTGCTCTAGTTTCTTAAAATGTAGCTGCCTATGCTATCAGCTTCACAGGATAGCTGTGAGAGGAAGCAAGTGAAACTGTTGTGCAACAGTAGTACTAGACAAATACAAAGTATTCTCAATCAGGAGAATGACAGGGACAGAAGGGTTTGAATGCTGGAGTCAGAGTTTGTATACAAAGAAAGTCAAAAGAATGGTAATGAGAGAAAAAATCATTTCTTAAAAAGACAAATCTGATTCATTATACCATTCTTCCCACTTTCTGTACATTTTTTCCCTCAAAGTATGAAGTTGGGGAAAATACCCAAATCTCAAATTTTAAATCCTTTGTTTCAGGGGTCAGCACACTATGACCTGCGGGCTGTTTCTGCTGTTTTATTGGAACAGGGCCATGCTCATTAGCTGATGTACTGTCTCCCATGGCTGTTGCGCTACAATGGTAGAGCAGTTGTGACACAGACTGTACGGCTCTCAAAGCCTCAAATATTTCCTATTGGGCTTTTTACAGAAAGCTTGCTGACCCCTGCTTTATTTAATTGTGGAAAGCTATTAGTAATCTCTTCATATGCATGCCAATAATAATGGGTTATCCTTTATGCTTGGATCATCTGTTTCAAAAAGGAAAGAAAGAAAGCATCCGAGGGAAGAACATTTGACTTTTTATTACTTTTTAAAAATTCAACTTCAGTTAGATTAACAGACTAGATTAGAACTTCAAACGTGATACATTATATACTGCACTGGATTTCTATTACTAAAAAGCCAGTTGGAACATGGCCTACACAAATCACGGGTGAGTACAAAAATGGAAGTCATCACTGAGTAGTAACTGTTTCCTTCCAACTCTGTCACCAATTGTCCATACTCCAGGGATTTATAGGTTCAAGTCTGACACAGCTGGAAAGCCCAAGTGTGACTGCTTTTCCCAAGATACTCTGTCGTCCTTCAAATAGAATGCCATGTTATTTCCTCCTTTCCTTTAAGCTTTTAATGTTTACAACCTTCAAATGACCTAAACTGATGAACTGGGGCAAGCACACAAAATGCTGCTTTATCAATTATTAGCCCCATTAACCAATACTTCAAGATGAACACTTTTCACAACAGTTTATTTCCATATCCTAGTAACAGTGAAACAAGAACTTAATTTTTCCTTTGTCTGCACAAGTCTGCCTACAGCTCTAAAGAGGTCAAATCAGATGGCTTTTAGAAAATGCTCACAGAACAAGTTATTCCTCAAACTGAATTTAAATCTTATAAACTTTCTGCACCAATAGGTCAACTTTCTGATCTACCTTACCTCTAAATCTAGTCTATTTCTATACACACTTCCAGTCTTGATAAATTTTCACTTCTCTGGTCTCCTTAACATATTGTTAAAATATAGCTTCATAACTATGTAATTTTTGTGAAGATATAAAACATTCATGAATACTTGTATTTTCATGTCACTACTCCTATTAATTACGTGTGCCAATAAATCAATAGAATGAAGCACTAAGACACACTAAAACCTAAGCCTAAAACCCAGATGAAACTGCAGTGTATAGATTACAAATAGGCTTTTCTTTCTCAAAATTCCTACACAGAAGCCCTTCCATATGAAGCTTTTCCTGAGCAAACTGCACTAATACATTATTTCTTTTTTTTACATTTGTAAAAAAAAAAAAAAAAATCAGGAAATCTTCAACTAATATTTATTTGTAAAACATTTGGCATATGGTGATCAGTAAACATTTAGGAAACAAAAGCTTTATCAAAATGAATACAATTTGTGGATAAACCCTGAATAAAGTGGTTTTTGGAAGAACTGGAGTTTGCAGCAACCACCTTTATAAAGGGATCCATCCACTCTTCAATGGAAAACACTCAAGCATACCATTCACTATGTTCAGAAATCACCACAATGTAATTAATTCCAAGGGCATGGGGCTTAATTTCTGGGCAAACTCCATACAATCCAGAAGCTCAACATGATGGATGCTTTCCCAACTTTCCAGTCACTACATTTCCACCTTATCCTACTCTTGCACTGCCAGGCTCCTCTGTCCATAGGACTCTCCAGGCAAAAATACTGGAGTGGGCTGCTATGCCCTCCTCCAGGGGAACTTCCCCACCCAGGGACCAAACCCAGGCCTCCCGCACGGTAGGCAGACTCTATCGTCAGAGCCATCGGGAAGCCCACTCTTGTGCTAGGGTATACGCATCAATGTCACTAGTGTAGCTAAGTCTCAGGTGAAGCGTGCTTTCAGATACAAGTCTCCAGTTTGTGAGAGTATTCAAAACTTCAGCTGCTAAGTTGAGCAAATGTTAATAAATGAAAGACAAATAGCATTTATGAAGTGGAAAAATCCTACCCTTTGATTAACTTAAATAATACATTTTGCTATTCTACAACTGAAAGCTATGGAACTATTTGTGGATTACATCTTCTTCAAGACATACACACACACACACACACACACACACAAAACCCAGCCCCTCTACAAAGCCATAAACCAATACCTATTTTCTAAAGGACTTTTCAAGGTGACTTATATTCATTTTAATAGTTCTTCATGTATTTAGATATTACAAAATTATTTTTCAGTGAAGTTTCCAAAGATTTTCAAATACAGATTAGTTTAGCAAAAGAACTGGTGTACCTGAATGCAGCTAAACCACTCATTCTTTAAAAACCCTGTATCTTACCTGAAAGATTCATGAGAAACAAATTTCATTTTATAAAGATAGAAGCTTGCCACCCAATTTACAATATATCAGATAGACTCTATGTTCTTATAAGAATTTTACATGTAGTTTAAAAGTTATATAAGCCATTAAGTATTAACTTTTAGTTTTCTTATTAGATCTCAAAGGCAGGTGTGAGAAAAAACAGAAAATGAAGGAACTAGCAGGTTACACTTAATATTTTGGCTTGAAGAAGAGGATTTACCAATAGCTTTTGATCAAATTTCTGTTTGTTCATGTCAGTCGTATTTAAGTGGTAAGAAATCAAACTTGCCACCCTTTATAGTCTTTAATGCTATATTAAAGGATGCAGAGTCTATTAATTTACAGAAACATACTTTGTAATAAAAACACCTTATGTAACTCTGAGTGGCATGAACTTCATGTTAAGGTTTAAATACATTAAGGTTAAAATGTTTTGAGTCTTTCTAAAAATACCAATATACAGTATAGTTTTTAGGTGGTCATTTGCATAGCAAACTATTAAACTAGAAACTCAATGGTTCTAGGAAAACTTCACATTATGGACCGTTCCAGAAAGATGTATTCAAAATTAAAATTACTTCTCTTAGAAAACAGTAAGCTTTATTTGCTCATCCTCTAGTACACTAACCACTTTTACCCATCCCCACTTTACACAGTACACTGACCTGAACAGATTTTGTGCCACAATTTCATTCAAACGGCTTCTCATTCATTTTGTGACTGCACTGGATAATCTAGATGAAAGCAATATTGGGGATTTTAAAGTATGGGTCCCTTGTATCAGAAAAGCATGATAAAAAAAAAACCCCTCTGCATTCAGTAATACTGTCTTTTGAAAAGATATCTTCAAATTGCAAACACATGTATTTTCACAAAACAATTTGGTCAGGAAATTTTATTTTAACATTCTAAAGCAGTAATGCTTCAGATGTTACTTAAGTGCCCCAGACAGGATTAACAAAATTAAATGTTTCTAAATTACAAATTTGGCTCCTGTAGGGAGTCTCAGGAAGAAAAACAAAAGAAAACAATCCCCCTCCCAAAAGAAGTATGACACACACATTTTGAAGAAACCCCAATGTTTCATGCACTGGTAGGCAAGATGTAAAAAGCCACCCAAATTCACACATTTCTACACCAATCATCATCAGAAAAAAGTACTCCGTAGTCAATCTGTACATCCAAATGCATTTGGGAATCTACACCTACATTACATTATTTAATGTTATATACATTTATTACCCACCCCCCTTGTTTTTAATAATTTCTTATGTAAAACCTTCATTCAAACCCAAAAAAGATGTAAGACTAACTTGGGGGGAGGGGGCAGATAATCACTTTAGACATTCAGTTAAAATGTAGTTTATCTAAATCTCAAAATGTTTAATAAAAACAAATATCTTCTCCATTTAACAATTTGCTTCTAACTGTACAGTAAATTGCATTGTAGAGAGTACACCTCTATCTTCAAACTGTATCTTCTTTGGATGGAATTAAGATGTAACTGGATAGTTTTAAGATAAATAAATGGGAAGTTGGTCCAACTAAGATGACAGCAGATATATTACATGCAGGATTTAATATTTTAAAATTTTCTCTTAAAAAAAAAAAGGATGCAGTTGAATTGGGGGCAGAAAAAAAGCAGGTCAAAAAAGAACCCAGGTTCAATATATAAAAATGTCCCACAACAGGTTGATGATGGCAGTAAAAATAAGAGAAAAAAGTAATCTTTCTGGAACATCATTTTTCAGTATTGTAGAAACACTAGTGCCAGGAAGATTTCTATTCATGTAATTTTAGCATCCAAGTTTCCCTCTATTTATTTTATTGGAACAAATGCTTTAAATAAACTATTTGTCCTCTTCACTGAAGAGAGCTGGTCTATTTCATTTTTAATGAGCTAGTTTTTGGGAAGTTTAGCCATGTACTGTAGTAATGCCTACTGCATAAAATCCAAGCATTTGCTGTGAACAGTTGGAGAAAGCAGTCAGTAAGAACCTAGGATCAATGGAAATAGATGTTACTTTAAGCCATCCACGAAAGAGACCCACAAAGTACCCAGTGTTAAAGCCCAAATCTCTTCTTGCGCTTTTTTTTTTTTTTGCTGTGCAAGTTCCACCCCTGTGAAAGAGAAATTGATCCGAAGTTCCAGGCTTTCTTGGGTCTTTAGTCAATTTTCACATTAGTATAGATTTTTCGGACAAAGGCACTTGTTCCCATGTAACCAATTGCTCCTGTAAAGATAAAATAAGATGTTTTGAAACAAATACATACAGAGCATACACCCATCATTTACAAACAAACACTAAATGCTCTCTGCTCTGGAAAGTTATTCTTTTTTTAAGATAGTATCTAATTTAGCATTCTCCCTAAACTTACTAAAATAGTGTCACTTGTTTTGCAAATTACCTGTTGCTGTCATATACCAAGTCTGGCCTGATGTAACATTTTTATAGTTAAATATCAATTATTTCATGAATTATGAACTATATGAATTAAAATAATCTCTTAAAAATAATTTCAGAATGACAAAAATTCATTAAATGAAAAAAGTCTTATAAAAATTTAAGCATAGATTATTCTAGGTTATTAAAACAATACTAACATGTTCTCCAAACAATATGATACACTTATGGATAATTTAGTAAGAAGTGACTGGGGGTTCTCTCAGGGAATGACTGAGACCCATGGCCCAATAGCATCTTTAGCTCTAGAGAGGACACATTTCCGATGACTTCTTTTTTATGTTTAAATTGTAGAAGCTGTGTGATTGGTAGAAAGATAGGCATCTGAGGACATGGATGAGAGAGACAGATAAGTAGATCAGGAATTTTGAAATGCTGTTTTTGAATAATTAGCCTCAAACAGGGCTCAAAATACCAGAAAGCAGGGGTGTTTCTGTTTTGTTAAATTAAGTTTCTGACTCTTAGCCCTTAAAAAGTACTTGGCACATGGTAAGATACTCAATAAATATTTGTTGAATGAATTAATTAACTGTATAGTTCTCTATTGTAAATACTAAGAGATCTTTAGAACAAGACAGGTGGTCATTCATATGATAGAGAAGATTCTCCACTGGATTTAGGAATTTACCATCAAAGTCTAAAAGTCAGTCTTCTGTGAGTTAATGATACACACACATACACCTAACTGGCTACCTCTGAACTAACTTTTATTCACCCAACTGGTGTATGCAAGGAAAAAATAAGTCTTCCTGCCTTTCCTATACATATGTAAACTGTACCTCAATGGAATCAAATGGCTGATGAAAGGAAGTTTCTTCTTAGAGAAGTGTCCCAGCTAATAAACATAAAAGGGACAATGGAATGAGAATATTGTAACGACTAATGACTTAGAGGAAGAACTAGGCAATAATCATCCACGGCTGCTAACCTCACAGAGACAACCAGACATTTAAGTGCCTCCTTATGAAAGTTTACAAACCACCTGTTAAGTGTTCTTGGACAGGTATTCTTGAGTATGATCAGGTCTACAGATCTAACTACCACTTTACAGGAAATACAGGGGGAAGCACACAGAGAAACATTAAATAATACCTTAGGGATACAATCAGCCTAACCCAGAGTGAAAAACTCAATAGGATTTCAAACAAACCAACCAACCAAAACCTAAGTTTCTTAAGTAATTGCAAGGGAAAAGAGAGGAAACATCAATAGTTTTAAAACTGCTTAAAAGACAGTTTTACTAACCAATGCATGGACTTTAATTGGATCTTGATGCAAACTGTATTAAAAAAGAAATGAGGATGTGTGTGATAAAAGTGAATACTAAGTGAATATTTGAGCACATTAGGAAATTATATATATATATTAAAATATTATTATATAACTGCATTCTTATATATTATAGCTATATAATAATTATATAAACACGGCACATTTGATGAATCTATATACCCACACACACAAATATTTATGGCTAAAATGACATGAAGTTCGAGATTCACATCAGAAAAAAAGGAGGTAAAGTGGGAAAAGAACGAAGACAAGACTGGATACAAGTTGACAATTACTGATGTTAGGTGTGTTAGGTACATGGGGACTCACTACATATATACTACTGTTTCTCTTTTTGTATATATTTGAAAATTCCCCATAATTAAATATCGAGAATATTTTAAAAACCCAGGAAACCTATTTTTGTAATAAATAGACACATTTTTTAACATGAAATTATTATATTATCCTTGAAAATTAGTGATAATTCATTTTAAAATAGCTATATATAAGTTCTTACAAGATAAGTTGAAATAACCAATTTTAAAAACCTAAATTCTTTTTAAAGTATCTGTAAAATTTTTGGTAGAATCAAAATTTAACTGGCACAATACAGTACTAGTCCAATAAGCAAATTCAATTTTGGAGACTTATAAAACATTGTTCCCTTTTGAGCAGAGGTATGCTTAAAAGCAAAACAGTGTCAATCTAGAGAATCATTTTTCTTAATCTTATGAGTATCTCAAGAATAACCTTATAAAATACTACTTTATAAAAGGAAGAGACTGAATATGCTCTCTAGAAAAATAAATGTCTTTGGAATAATACCAAACTTAATTTTTTAAAAACTAAAATGCTATGCTCAAAACATAAAGTCTGCAGCAATCTAATTAAATTTCCCCCTTAACAAAATTATTTTTTCTACATTAAAAAATATATATTTTTTCTTTCAATTACTGATTGAAAAAGCATATTAGCAATATAATCAGATGAGTATGTATAATTTTTGTATTATGATGACATTTTAATCATTTCCAGTGTGAACTCGTTCCCCTCCCTGACAAAAACAGATTAGCACTGAAGGCATATAAACCCATTAAAGAATAAATGTTGGGACATTGCCAGAACAGCAGGGAACTGTACATGTGCCAGGACTGTCAGGCAGCAAGATGAAATTTCAACAGGAAAAGCATTCAAAAAATTTAGCTATTAAGTAGGGGCACTATGATTCATAATCAAGACTGGCCCTCCAAAGTCCTACTCCTCCCCAAAACTCTCCACCACATCTCATATGTCTCACCACCTAATAACAGAGCTGCATTATACCTGGTGCTTTATATACATGACACTATTACAGATAACTACTCCGAAAGGTATGTCCATTTTATAGATTAGAAAATGAGACTTAGGTTAATGTGCCCTCCCATGGCCACAAAGAAGGTTAAGTGGCAGCATGGAGATTTAATCCAGGTCTCTTAGGCTTTCCAGTCCATGTCTTTTCCATTTTTCATGGTGCTTCTAAAAAGTTCTTTCTTCATTTTCTAGCTATTTCACACACACTATACACTCTATTTATGGTGATAACTATTACCTTTTCCATTTAATGGAAGGCTGTAATAGATCCATGAAACAGTGATATTATCCTCCTTTTATAGATGCTTGGAGAGCTTGGGGAATTGGATCAAGGTATAGAACCATAGACTGCACAGCCAGAACTTAAGCCCAGTCTGCAAACACCCAAGTGTGTACTCATAACCAGTCAATTGTGCTGCCTCCTGGACACTTTTACCTCAATTAACAGGGGAACAGAAACTTCCAAACAAAAATCATTTGGCCAAAACCTTAACTTGTTTACACAATAATCTTTTCCAAACAATCTAAGCTTAAAGGAAAAAAAAGGCAATTCTCAACATGAATGAAAAACTAATTGTGATATGGGAAACAGTGCTATACACAATTATTAAAAACAGCAAATTAAAGAAATCAGTGAGGTAATAAATCAGATTTTGAGGAATTGTTAAAAGGACTGAAATCAGATGTCTGAGTTTCTTTTGGTGTTCCTGATCAAACAATAGAAGGTTATTTCTCAGTTTCCAAAAACTGTATTTCTCTGATTCAGAAACACTCAGAGATTTACTCATGATATTCCAAGAATTTCAGAACTTACCACACATTATCCCCAAGGCTGTGCTAAATACCGCCATATATCCAAAGTAAAATGATGTTTGAAATAAGCCATACATCCTGAAATAAAACCAAAAAATTATATACAGCATATCCATTTTTACTTTCAACAAAAGGCCTAAATTCTAGCATTTAAATGACACTTAGTTTCTAAAATACAAAATGAGAAAATGTCTCCACTTACTTTGTTTTGAAAAAATAATAGTAAAAGGAATACATGTAAACATAAATTGCAGTGGATGCAGCAGAGAGAAAACTTGTCCATTGCCTAAAGAAAAAAAGTAACTCTTTTGAATGGATCGCACTGAAAGATTTTAAAGCAAAGCATTTTATAAAAACATCCTTTATGACTCTATATATTTAAAAACAAATGCATGTATAATGGCATTTAAATATATCAACAAGGAGAAAGCCAAAGAACTGGAAGGAGAGATCCTAAATTTTGTCAGATTTCTAATTACAAATGACCTTAAATAAACCATTTCCTTTTCCAAATGTCTCATGTTTAAAATAGTGACCCTCATTAATACTCCCAATTTTTTTGACTGATACTATTCTTTCCTCTAAAATCATCAATATTTTTATAACTGAAAAAACTCCTACACTATCTTAAGAAAACTTGTATATAGATTTTTACTTCACTTGATACATTTCAAATGCAATCTATTTTAAATTATATGGTCCCCAGAAGTTCCTCCCAGAAGTAAGTACTCACCATCTGTAATCCTCTGCGTTGAGTAGAAAGTACGTGCACACGATGGTCACACAGACAGTCACAATGCACAGGATGACGAGCACCAGCATCATGAAGCCATAGACATAATAGATCTTGTACGCCCAGAAAGAGGTGAAGATGAAATACCTAAATACAGCCAACAAAGACACATTTTCCAATCTTTATTCATAAAACTTACCCTGTTCTTGCTAAATCTCATTTGCACCTTAGTTATCACTTAAATCTCAATATTTTTCTTCCAAGCAACTTTCAACAGTTTCCCTTCCTCCCCTTTCATCTCTAAGTAAACTGAATAAATGAGAAGCTTTAGGAGTGTACTGTGGAAAAGAAAGATGAAAACAACTATAAATTCATATTTTTAAAATAAATTCTCTCATTTATTTTTTTCTACATATTACTATACAAGCAACACAGTTTATAAAACACCTGACTAAATTTTTTAAAAAGGTTTGATATGGTAATAATGTATAAAATTAGGAAAATAAAAATAATTAGGAAAAGAAAGTCTAAGAAAGCTCTGTGCCATTTTCACAGGACTGCAAGAGAAAGGGCACTATGATTTTATACCAAAAAAAGATCCTTTCCTCTAATTCCATTACACAAGCCATCATTAAAACAAAAAGGGTTTTTTTAACCTCTTTTCTTTTTCTTGTTCCCTTCTGCTTGCTAGTTACCTTATCTATTACCCATTCTTTCAACAGATATTTACAGAAGCCCTACACATATCAGAGAAGCATCGAGAACAGGGTTAAACAGTCTCTACCCTCAATGAGATGAGTTCAGCACGGAACATCAATAAAGGGACAATCATGACGCACCATGACAGGCGCTTCACCAATGCACCTAAGAGGAGCATCTAAGCAGTGCTCTGGGTGAGGGAAGGGGGAGCCACCCTAACTCCCATATTTCCTGTATCTTATTACAATGAAATCTCTCGAAACATAAATACATTGCCAAAACTTACATTTCAATAAAGATTGAGCCAAAAGGTAAAATTCCTCCTAGGCAAACAATAACTGCAGGCTCCATGAACCTGGAAAATATTAAAATTAACAGTGAACTTCTAGTATGATTTCCACATTATATTAACTCTGATAACAGGAATCAGAATACTTGGTACTTAAAAATAATCTAAAGGACAGAAATAAGCCAGTAAAGAGAAAAAACAAAAATTCAAAGAGACACAATATTGAAATGGGATTTCAAATTAGCCATAGTTAAAATTGTATTGTTAAAATTATTTTTGGCATTAGAGCCCAAGATAAGAATTTCAGGAACACAAATTCTTGCTACTGACAGAACTCAAGAAAAACTCTGTCTCCTCCTGATCTATACTTTACAGTAACTTCTAAAAATTTTAGTCCTTTACTTACAGAAAGCCATAGGAAAAGAAAATATAAGCTTTGAAACTGCCTCCCCCATCTGAAATAATGTTTCCCAAATTGTGGCCTTGTCAGTCTCTTTGCTCATGCTTTCCTTGGTTCAGTAATTCCTTTTCCTTTGAATTATACAATTAAAGTATTATGAGTTCTGAGTTATAAAAGGAGTCAAAGAATGACTCAAATATAAAATTCAAACCTCATTCATTTACTCAACAAATATTTACTGATTGCAGTCAGTAATTCTCCAACCCTGAATGCCCTCCCTTGTCTCATATTTCTTTTCCTGCAAGTACTGGCTCGAGTGTTCTCCCTATAATGCCCTTCCCAAGTCTCCCAGCCAGAGGTGGGTTCTTCGACTGCCTCCTGAACATAACTCCAAGGCTGCACTTACCACACTATACTATACTAATTACTTATATAATTACTCACTAGATTATAAACCCTGGCAGACAGAAGCTATTCATCTAGGTATTCCCAGTGCCTGGCATAGTACACTGCACATGAAAGACAGCAAACTACCATTTCTGACATGAACAAACTACAAAATTGAGAAGAAAATGAGTTTGAGAGCTGAAAAAGAAAAGATCATTTAATCTCATCTCCTTTCTTCCTTTTATAAGAAGTCAAGATCCACAGAGGTTAAAAATGACTTGCCTGCCAGATCTAGGATGTGGATTTTGGTTCCCATATAATGACATAGAGAAAATGAAGAGACATGCGAGCCTTTCCTATACCTAAACGTGACCCATGGTTAGTACGGGTACAGGTTACTCCTTCCTCTCATCAGTCTAGTGACCCAGAGGAACTTTTGTGATTTCTGACTAGGCTTTTACTTTAATCTTATCCTCCTCAGTAATGGGTGAAGGAACATCAGGATATCAATGGGCCTTAACAGGCTAATCTTGATTTGAAGAAGATAAAACTGACTTTAAAACACAGACTACAGACGTTCTCATAGCACTAATCTAAAAAAAAGAAAAAAAAAAAAAAAAGAACATGTATAATTCCTAAGACTAGAACAGATCACTCTCCTTTAAATTATGGGGCTATTTTATCCAGCTTCCACTTCTGCAAATGTCTACATACCTCCAGGTCTTCAAAAGACTGTATAAGTACTTGAAAATAAGTACTATTTATAATATAGCAAAATATCTATGAACAGAGGCATTTCAATATATATCCCCTATTATGAATATGTAGAGTCTACCATATAGCTGTTTTAATGAGATGGGGAATAAAAAAACATGCAGTAAGATTGTTCTATTTATGTCTGTAAGAATTAGTAAAATAAAGAATGCAGAATAGCATAAATCAGCACTAAAACATTCAACATGCTAATTTTAAAGGGCAAAACATATGCACAGTGAGTTCACATTTTATTCACATTTGAATTACAAAAATTAGAAATATAAACATATTAGTGATATTTCATTTTATGTCCAAGGTTGAAAAAATAAAAACCATCTCAAGTTAAAAATCCATCAAGAATCACTATTTCAAAGCTGACTAAAAGAACTATAAACTATGTTTAAACTACTGCAATAGAAGAATAGCTTTAGCTATTAAACAGAAATACCTGTCATCTTTTTGTCAGGATTAAATCTTCAATTACAGGAGATCCTCAAAAATATATTTTGTGCATAAAATGACAAAAATGTATCTAAGAGATTTCTATACTATCCCAGAAGTGACGATAAAGAATGTAGGTCAGTAAATTATGTGCTCAGTCATATTCAACTCTTTGTGGCCCTATGGATTGGAGGCCGCCTGGCTCCTCTGCCCATGGAATTTTCCAGGCAAGAATACTGGGGTGGGGTGCCATTTCCTACTCCAGGGATCTTTCTAACCCAGGGATTGAACTGGCCTTTCTTACATCTCTGGCATTGGCAGGCAGATTCTTTACCATTAGTGCCACCTGGGAAGCCCTAGTTCATCTCTCAATTGATTCAAAATATATGTCTATAAATGTGTGTCAATTTTGTTTTGAATAAAAAATGTAGAAAGGACACTGAAATTGTAAGCCAGGTGTTGGCAAACTTTTTCTGTAAAGGCTCAGATAATATTTCATGTTCTACAGGTGATATGGTCAGTGTCTGTCATAACTGTTTAACTCTGATGCTATAGTGGAAAAGCAGTCATAGACAATATGGGAACAAACAGGCATGGCTATATTCCAACAAAACTTTATTTATAAAAACAGATTTGGTTTATAGGCTGCAGTAATACAACAGCTGCTGCGTTAGGGCCTATCCACCTCTATGAACTAGTGTACTGACCAAAGCATTTGATTTCTCTGTGAACGGCACTAATATTCAAAAAGTGAAATAAAGATACCATTTATTACTACTCCTAACAATGTAAGTTGAAGGAGAAAGAAAAAGACAAATCTTAAGTTTAAACTTATAAATACATGCCAATTCTAAAATTGTATTATGTATACGCAATAGCCTTAAGAATTTATATATTATGAGAAGCAATCAAAGAAAATTTAGCATTCTCTTTACCATTTTTTCTCCGGTATGGGACGAGGCACAGCATTGACACGACAAGGAAAGTTGGGTTGACCTGACAGATTTCGGCCAAGTATTGTACCAACAAGATTTAGAGGAAGGATAACAAAAAAACAGATGCAACAAACAGCCACCTGTAAATTAAATTAAAATGTGTGTGATTACTCAGAGAACAATAATATTAACAAAAACAAATAAAAAGGATAAAAAAATTTAAACGCAATTTGATTATAAAAGAAAATGTTTAAGTTCAAAATGGGTTAAAACTGTGCAGAATACATACTAATAGCAATAGGAAAAGAATGTGCTTTAAAATATTAGAATTAAACTAAACACAAGTTGAACCATATTTCCTATCAACTGTAGTTCCCAATATTTCCTATTCTTGCACACTGCCCCTGCCATAATCCTTTTTTCTCTCAGTTTCAGCTGTCATGATTTTAACATATCCTTTATCTTTTATCATTATAACCAACTTATTTACTTGCCTGTACGTCACTGAGTTCCTAATAAGCTCAAGGACCTTTACACGTATTATTACCCTACTTCACAGGTGAAGAAAATGAGACAGAGAGGCTACGTGACTTCCCATGATCACACAGTTTAGTAGGTAGCCAAACCAAGATTTCAATTCAGATCTGCCTGTCTCATTCTGTCTGCTTGTTTCTATTTACAGTGCTTTAGGATCTTAAAAATAAGAAAACATCACTATTTATGCATATATGTATATTACTAAAATAATATGAGTATTTCTCTTCCTATTAGTAATCCAAAGTCTAACATTACAGGGGAGACCATACAGAGATTCTAGAACCAAAGTTAAGAAAGCATTTTTTTGTTTTTGTTTTTTTTTTATATAAACTTGTATTCTTACAGAGACACACTCAAGCTCTTTCCAGCCAGCATGTAAATCAGGATTAGTTCACTCTGAACTTCTACAACTAAAACAGAACTGAATCACGACTCTAGGATCTCTCAAATATATACTGTGGGGTTCTAATAAATCAACAGTGAGAGAAAAAAGCTGAATGAAAATTGTGAAGAAATTAACAGAGAAATGAAGAGGTGTGGGGTAGAAAATCCGCAGTGATGACATGAGAAGGAAAGAATCTATTTTGAAGCAAAATTACTGAAAACTCTACATCTTCATTACACCCTGATGTGTGCCTGCATGTGTTTAAACGAACCAAAGAGCGTCATCATTTTCCTTTCAGGCAGTGCTTAGTCGCTCAGTCGTGTCCGACTCTTTGCGACCCCAGAGACTGTAGCCCACCAAACCCCTCTGTCCATGGGGATTCTCCAGGCAAGAACACTGGAGTGGGTTGCCATGTCCTCCTCCAGAGAATATTCCCAACCAGGGATCAAACCCAGGTCTCCTGCATTGCAGGCGGACTCTACCATCTGAGCCACCAGGGAAGCCCAGTAAAACTCGTACAAAAGTAGTAAGTTAAAAGTTCTGACATTCCATTTTAAAGCTCAGACTCAGAAACTCAAATCAGTGGTATCTCAGTTTAGATGTGTTAATAATATGAATTTCTGCTTATATGAATAATAAGAAAAGGTGAAACATAAAAAACAGGCAGATGTTTTAAAGATATTTTAAATACTAGGATATATTGTGAATTATACATATCCCATATTTGGGGGTTGAATTGTCTCAATTTTTGTTGTTTTTTAATTATTATTTTGCTACCATTAAGTATATAAAACTCATAAATATTAAAACATTGTAATAAGAGGCCTACATATTTTCCCTTAATTTACCAGAACTCTAATTTCAAACAAGGACTGAAGAGAAGTTGTTGAGAAAACCTTCCTATGTGGAATGAATGGTCTAGCAAAGTAGTTTTCAAACTGTTCCACAGAACCCTCAGGTCCTGCTGAAAAAAGTTTTAGTTAGGAATTCCACAAGCACTTGATTTGAATATCCTTTTGAAAATAGCTTTTTTTAAAAAAAATTATTTTTAACTGCAAAAAAAATAAGGTGGGAGAAGGGTCAAGAGGGAGGGGACATATGTATACCTATGGCCGAGTAATAGTTGATGTATGGCAGAAACCAACACAATATTATAAAGCAATTATTCATCAACTAAAAATAAACTTTAAAAATAAAGTAAAAATAAAGAGCAACAAAAAAATAAACAGACTCAAATTAGTTTCATACCAAATATTAATACCTGGAGATACCACAATCAGGTTAACTCATTTCATGCAAACTTCAGAATAAAGTTTCTTCTGCTATCTCTGTATATACATATATTTGGACTCCTAGTAAATGTATCACTGATTAGGAAGGCCTACACTGGACTTTTGTTCTTCCGTCCCCTACCCCACTCCCACCCAATTCTGGCCTGCACATATTTGCTCATTAAAAGGTTTATAAGCAAATGCACTACAGTACATGCATGTCATAAGCAATTAAGTGGCAGGTGAAGTGAAGGCATACCCTGCCTGTATGCTCAAAGCATTAACAACAGTCAATAAAGGAACCTATAAACAGTCTCATCAAGACATTATCACTGCTTATATTTGTTTAAATCCCCCTCCCCCTTTTCCTGACTTTAATACATGGTAAAAATTTGAGCAGTATGTTGGCAACTATTAGTGACTGAACTGTGAAACCAACTTCCTACTCCTTAATGTCCAAGTTCTGGATGAGTTTACTTGAAGAAATACTCTGAGACTGCAAGGCGAGCTGTTAAAATAAAGAGTCACATGGAACTAAATCATCTGTGAAGTCAGAATTTTTCTCAGTACTGATATTCAACCAAATAAACTGGTTACTAAAGAAGAATGTTATCTTACCCCTTGATATTAGATCTGTATTCATCACAACTTTCTTGCCTTCATTAAACTTAAAATGTTAAAGTACTGAATTAGCAAAATTTATTTAGACTAATAGAATCATGCTTATTATCTGCTTTCTTTCTTGGGTTTCTACATTAAGCTTTCATTTAACTTGAAATTCAGCAACTAAGAGTTAAAAAATCATTAGCCTAATACACTGGTGAAAACACTGGAACTCAAACTAATATAGGGCCTTCCCTTAGAGCTCCCGAGCCTTTGTTCACGGATCAGTGTAAAGTGAAAACAGGGACGGGGGAAGGAAGGACTCACTCCAGTTTGAGGGCGTCCCCTACTGACAAGAAGAAGTTAGAAACAAATACTGCATATCACTCCTTAATGCCCCAAAGATGGACCAACGGGTCAACTATTCTCAATCTCAGTCAGAAGGCAAGATTGTGAATATTATTTTATCTTTGTTTCCAAACTGGCCTTTTAAGGAAATCTGCGGTGTGAGTGAAATGGAAAGGGAACAGGCAGCCCAAAATGTGCTATTTTGGAATGCTGCTGCTGCTGCTGCTAAGTTGCTTCAGTCGTGTCCGACTCTGTGCGACCCCATGGACCGCAGCCTACCAGGCTCCTCTGTCCATGGGATTTTCCAGGCAAGAGTACTAGAGTGGGTTGCCGTTGCCTTCTCCATTTGGGATGCTAAAGGATATACATTTCACTGAGGGTGACAGTAATTGCTTACAGGTGGGGTGATTCTCAGGCTTCCCAGGTAGTGCCAGTGATTAAAAAACCCTCCTGCCAATGCAGGAGACATGAGAGACTCAGGTTCTATCCCTGGGTTGGGAAGATCCCTTGGAGGAGGGCACAGTAACCCACTCCAGTATTGCCTGAAAAATCCCATGAACAGAGGAGCCTAGTGGGCTAGAGTTCATGGGGTCGCAAAGAGTTGGACACAACTGAATCAACTTAGCACAAGGTGATTCTTAGAAAATACATCAATCTTCTCAGTCATTATGTTTAGGTATTTCCTTGACATGAGCTCAGAGCAGACAATTTTTATCACTCCTTTTCTACTTATACATTGTATACCTTTATGTCGATATAAAAATTAGCTTCAATTTAAGCATGCTGACAATCATCAACCTAATAATCAGGACACTGCCAACTCAAACACAAATACTTATAAGAAGCCTATCTTATAGATATTTTCAACACTTCTCAATCTGATTCCTGGCAACTTCAATACTATAATAGAAGAAAACACTGGATTTGAAGTTAAGAACTTATTCTACAGGGCTGGCCAGAAAGTTTGAGGCTTTCTGTAAGCTGGTATGAAAAAATCTGAATGAATTTTTTGGCCAATCCAATATAAAGCTAGCATTATCCTGATACCAAACCATTAAAAAAAAGATATTATAAGAAAACTGCAGATCAATATTTCTCATAAACATAGATGCAAAACAACAAAAAGAACAAATTTCAGCAAATTAAATCAAGCTATATATAAAATGAATAATAAAGTGAAAGTGAAGTCGCTCAGTCGTGTCCGACTCTTTGCGACCCCATGGACTGTAGCCTACCACACTCCTCCGTCCGTGGGATTTTCCAGGCAAGAATTCTGGAGTGGGTTGCCATTTCCTTCTCCAGGAGATCTTCCCAACCCAGGGACTGAAACTGGGTCTTCCGCAATGTAGACAGACACTTTACCATCTGAGCCACTATATCATAACAAATTGAGGTTTATCAACGGAATTCCAGATTGGTTTAAGATTCAAAAATCAATCAATGCAATCCACCATATTACCAGACTAAAAAAAGAAAAACCATAGACCATCTCAAAAGGTGCAGAAAAAATTGTTGCAAGAGCCAACCTCCCTTCACAATAAAACAAACTCAGCAAACTAGGCATAGAGGGGAACTTCATCAACCTGATGAAGGACAGGTAAGAAAAAACGACAGGTAACATTTCTTGATGGCATAAGGCTGAATACCTTGCCCCTAAGACTGGGAACAAGATGAAGAGTCTGCTCTCACCTCTTCTGTTCAACACTGAACTGGAGGTTCTAGTCAGTGCAATAAGGCAAGAAAAAGAAAAGAACTAGAGGCTCTAACCAGTGCAGTGAGGCAATAAAAGATATACAGATTAGAAAGGCAGAAGTAAAACTGTTTATTCTTAGACAACACAATATATGCAAAAAATCTCTGGGAATCTACAAAAAAGAAATAAGAACTAATAAGTGAGTTTAGCCAAGTTGCAAGATGCAAAGCCAATATGCATGAATCAACTGTTTTTCTATACATTAGGAACAAGCAACCAAAATTTTTAATTTAAGAAATACCATTTACGAATAAAATAAAAAATATGAAATACTTAGGAGTAATTTCAATAAAAGCTGTACAAAACCAAAACATTAATATCTATAAAACATTACAAAGAAAAAGTAAAGATGTCTAAATAAATCAAGAGATATACCATGTTCATTAATCAAGACTCAATATTGTTAAGATGTGAATTCTTCCCAAATTTATCCAATAGATTTAATGGAATTCTAATCAGGTTTTTCTGTAGAATTTGATAAGCCAATTCTAAACTTCACACGGAAATGCAAAGAACCTAAAAAGTCCAAAACAACTTTGAAAAAGAATTGATCTCAAGACTTATTGTAAAGCTACAATAATCAACACAGTGTGATATTGGAAAAACCAACCAACCAACCAACCTGAATCAATCAATGAAACAACAAAGTAGAAAAGAAAGTCCAGAAATAGATCCAACAAATATATGGTCAATTGACTGTACTCTTCTTACAACCTTTGAGAGATCACAAAATAGCACCCATCCATTAATCTTTGTCTCCATTCTTTCCTCACTGTGTTAATTTCTGATTATATCTCATGAATTTCATTTCTGAGACCCCTGAATTCTCATGACATTTTCCCAGTAATGGTAAAATATTTGGATCTTGAGAGAGCATTTCCCTAAATATTTGTGAAATCTTTTTTCCTAAAACATAGGGCACATTTCTGGTAATTCCCCTCCCAAGGTAAAACAATCTTAAAATGACAAACATGGCTCATGACCTCTTACTTCTCCATCAACTACTCTACCCACTGAGAGACTAAATCATAAAGTGTAAGTCACAGATCTATCAGTGCATTCTGAGGTGAATAACACTTAGATTGAAAGGTTATCAGTTTCTATGCTACTTTGTCTCTATGAGTTTAAAACTCTGCAATTTGGTTATCTGTCCTTTGAAAACCTCCAATATCATTAAGAATCTGAGATTTACAACCCAGAGAAGACTTGATGCCTAAAACATTTTTTCAGAATACCCTGGCAAACCTTTCCTCACTCCCAAGAAAACCTCATAGGACCAAAAACTCTGGGTATGACACTTAAATCATTTTTGAACAAATTCCAAAGGAAAAAGGTTTTACTTTACCAGATTCAATTTAATTTGAAGTACACTCTCTCCAACTCTCTGAAGTATCTTGGTCAGAATAAGCCAACTTTAGGAACAGGTATGTTCATCTCTGAACCATCTTTGACCCCAAATTTCATTTAAATGCTCTCTTATAGAGTTTTGTAATATTCTCTAGGAATCATGCCTTAAGACTAGATGCTAGACATTAGCTGAGATTACTGCTACCACCCTCTATTTATGTTTCTTTTACCTTTAATAAGCTGCTAAGATTGACAAGTACTCAACAAGTTTAATCTGGCATGGATTTAATGGCTTTTATGTACAGGTACATATGCCCAGAGAATTTGGGGTCCAGAGACAAACTTCCACTTTCAATCTTATCTTGGGCTAGTCCTGGGGACAACAGAAGTATTCTGACAGAACTCCAGACTCCAAGTGGACAAAATCCCCATTGTTCTGGTGCCTCTGCAGGGCAACACAGAAGCTGAAGTCACTCTTACTAAGAATGAATTAAGCCCTCAGCTGTGGACTCTCTGAGAAAACAGAACTAGAGCAGAGATTACCCAGAGAAAGGGCTCAACGGGCATGAAATCAAAGGAACAGGGATAGAATAAGCCTGGGGAAGAGTATACAGGATTATTTGAAGACTCTGATTTTAAACGAGGGTATTAAAGTAAGGGATCCAGTTTCTCAGACATATTGCACTTGGGAACTTTACAGCTAACAGATCCATCCTCAGATGCTGAGAACTAGAATCAGGTAAACACTAGAGATTGGGTTTATAGTAGGACAGATAAACTGGCATAGGATGAAGCTCTGGGCATTGAAATTTTTTAGACTTCCATGTGAGTCTATGTGTATCCAAGGTTGGGGGCCATGGAGTTTATGAGAATAATATAACCATTTCCTTCATAATGTCAACAAGTCAAATAACTTAAAATACAAATTTAAATAGTTAAAATACTTAATGGACAACTAGGTCAAATATCTCAATTCTTACATTTCATGTTCTAAACAAATTATGATACTCTTAAAAGGAAGAAAAAATTTTAGACCACACACCTGATTACAACCTGAAAGCAGTATTCCTTCATTACAAAGACCAGGACATTAAGACCAGGACATTGCAGGAGGATGCTAAGCACCAACAAGCCAGTCTTTTATACAATAAAGATCAATTTTATACACCATCTCTTGCTCTATAGTCTGATACTGTATTTGAGTAATCAGTAATTATTCAAGTATCTAAACGTAAATTCCATTGAATGTTAACATTTAAAACCCCATTTACAGAGTGGCAACATTTATAATCTTTGTGAAACAAAGCAACCTTGAAATAACATTTCACCATAACAAATTTGAAACTTTATGATAAAAATTATAACAGAATCTGAATTTTAATTTTTAAAGCCCTATGATAGTAATTCATTTGGCAGCTCACCTCTAAGTAACTTGACTCTCACTATATAATTTCTGATGGCCTAGAACTACTATAAAGCAAATTATTTTCCAGTTCTCAATGTTACTAATTCTTTTACCCTTTCCTAACCATTATCAGTATCCATGGCTTGCAAAAACAAAAACCAAACCAAAAAAAAGCTTCAAATTTTGAAGCAATCTGCAAAATATTCCTAAATAAAAATTATTAAAGATTTAATAAAAACATATATGCAAGGTATCTCTGAAAAACTTGGACTGTAAAACAACCAATCATCTAGACTTTTCTGAGACCATTCAATAACTCCCATATAATAGAAAGAAACCCAAAACAAGGTTAAAATTCAGAGATATGGGTTCCAGTTGCAGTTCTGCCATTAAATCTGTATGACGTTAAACGTTACATTACCTCTCTGAAAAACAGTAACCACCTTGCAACTTGCATATGTATGTGTGTATGTGCGTGTGCATGTCTGCACAAGTGTACACTAAGACTAAAGTCTACTCTAGGCCTAAAATTCTGTTTCTAGTAAAATGGTAACAACTGGAAGAATCAAGAGACTGTGCGTTACCTCTATAAAGCACCAGTATTCCTGTGCTTTAGTTTTAATATATTTAAAAAATTTAAAACATTTCAAACTCTGTGATAACATGTAAGATATAAAATAGGATTTAAATATTTATAGCACGTAAGTTATCAATATTAACATAAATGCTTTCGTGAGGTTCTAAAAATAGTAGTTACCAAAAAAAAAGTTAGTCTTCACTTCCCACCACTGCACTCAACTATCACCTTAAAACACCCATGTTTCTTGTGTGTCATCATCCTTCCTCCGAAATATACTCACCAGTTTCCCTCATTTCTAATAAACAATACACTGTTCTCTTTTGTCTTACTTTAAAGTTAACCTTTCACTTCATTGGTTGACAAAATCAAGAAAAAACTTTCTTTACCTAACTTTCCAGGACTGAGTAGGGACTGGCTGCAAATAGGAAAAGGTAGCTGTTATACTTCAGGTACCTCCTGGTTTAGAGGTACCCTGGATAGACAGCAGAGCTCACATTAGAATGCTTGTCAGTCAGTCAGTCAGTCCAGTCATGTCCGACTCCTTACGACCCCATCAACTGCAGCATGCCAGGCCTCCCTGTCCAACACCAACATACTTTCAGCCTAAAAGTAAGATTCAAGCAACTCACCATTGTTCCAAAAGGAATGGCTCTCGAAGCATGGTAATAAATGGCTATAAAATTGATGAAGAAGGCAGTGCCACACACCATAGCTGGGATGAGGAATGCACCAATGAACATCTGCTTTATCCATCTCCTTCCTGAAAGAAAAGGGAAACTCTAACAATCAGAGAAGCTAGGTAGACAGACATACATCAATGTTTGAAAGGTGGCTATTTCTCTTATTAAGTTCCAACTCTTTTCTAGCATTCTCTTATCCTATACTTTCAATGTAGGACATGGACATGATCAGATCTCCTCAGGACACTGTCAATCAGAAAATAACCTTTAGATTACTCTTGGTAAGATCTGATACTCCTAAGTTTAAGTCTGAACTCTGCCAACTTTCAAGAACAAGTGTAGTAAAGTTAAGTTTGGTTGGGTGCTCTTCACTTGCAATCAGACTAAAAGCAAATTTGTGTTCAATTTCTTGTTTTGAGTAACCTGTTCCTCTTGTGGAAACCTTTCTAGAGACCATAAACTGTACAGCTCTTAGCCTAACCAGTTTTCAGATCAAATTCAAAGCAGGCATTACCTCAGGCATCCTTACTTCCTCAGGATGGTAGACTTAGACCTGTGTGCTAAGACTCATTTCCCATATCTAGAGGGAGAACAGAGAAACTGAACAGCTAACTAAAATAGTCAGGAATCTGCAATGACACTCCTTCAGGCAATCCAAAGAATTATCTCTGTTTACAGTAGAGACCACATTAAGTCTGACAGGACCAATTTTTTTTTAAAGCCATGGTAAACCAGGATATCCTGGGGGAATTTTAAATGATCCTGTGTTCTGAGCTCCTCTAGCCTATATGTCTAGCCTACTAAAAGAAGGGCAGGATCCTCTAATGCTTAGGAAGGGCTAGGAAAATCACATTAGGAAGTCTCTATCCTGAGGAATATAATTTTAACATCTTTCAACAACCTTTCATTCATAAACTGAAATATGCAAATCTACTACTTTTATCACTTTTCTGACCCCAACCAATTATAGGAAAAACAAAGAACTTAAAAGACCTTAAATGCTATCACAGAAAAAAACACCACAAGGCAGAAACCTCACATCATACATGAACACCCATCATTTTCAGGTCACAATAGTAAAGCAGCAGGGGGGTATTTCAGATGAAGCTCTTTTAGCAAAAAGATTGTGATAGAAAATCTTTCTGCAGGATCTTTTGATAAGTATTTAAGGGTCAACAGAAATAAACAGCTTTCCTTCCTAGTATCCTTCCACTGCCCAGACATATATCCATAAACCATGAAATATGCCTTTATGTTCAGTTGTAAAGCTATAAAGTCTATGAGGAAGCCTCCCATGGAGCACTACTAGGGAATTAAGACACCTCAAAGCAAAATAATAATAGTAACTTAAATACACTCTCTCCCACAGCTTCCTCAGGCCTAACTTCACAGTGGACAATGGAGATAATCTACTAATTATTCATAATTTTAGGAAATAAAATGTAAGGATTCCATAAAGAGCAGATGAGAACATGTAACAGGTTTGGTGGAGATTATGTGAAACTGGATAACAAATGACTTTATAATGGCTGTACTGGCCATTTTAAACTACATACACCTTACAGTGAAATATTAGAATCTGTAATTAAAACAGAAACAGTAACTCAGAAATTACCTCCTTGTCTAGCATACAGACTTCCTCCAAAATAACCATTCACTGGAGATGTAGCAGCATAGACAAATATGGCTGTACTGAGCATTGACCCCCTCCTAAAAAGGCAAAACAACATATATGATAAACTAAAACCAATGATTTAAAGAAAATATCATACAGTCTATCACATTAACATCAGTTTAATATCAAAGACAAATTTAGCAGTAACAGAAAAAATGTATTCCTGGACTGCAGCAGACCTCAAAAGGTTGCCCAGTAAATGAATTTCTAGTTAAAATTGCATGTAAATGGTAACAGACTGATCCTACTTTTTTTAAATTTGAAGTTAAATTTCATAATATTCCTAACAAACATTTCACATTTCTTTGGCAAACATACTAGAAGCTGGCACTAAAACTGTTTCGCAACCTTGTGAACCAATCACATCACATGGCAAAGAATATTCATCTGTTAAGAAAATTAATTAAAATATTTCTCTTTATAGTTTAACTGCTTAAGAGTCTTGCCTGCTGACAGAAATAAGATGGAAGTACTGTAACCTATATTACTACTATTACTTTAAATGGTATAGTACTGAGACTTCTATTTAGTTTCCCTTAAACTGTTAAAACGGTTTTTAAAAATTTATAAGTCTACAAATCAACATTAACTCAGATCAATAATTTCTAACCTCTTCTTCCAGTAATGCTATCTAGGCAATACAGATCAACTCCCCTATTGAACAAAACTGGACAAAGATATTTTAAATGCCTAATTGCAAAGAGAAATATTAAAATGATAAAATGGCAGCATCATCTGCCATAATATAGAAATGTACTTAACTAAAAGACCATTTCTGAAACTCACCACAACTAGGAAGGTAAAAGTCTGTAGACAGAACATATAGCCTTGTTAATTTGAGTTAAAGAATACTCTTTTAAACACAACTTACAAGAATATTACACTAATGTGTGTTCTGGAAGGAAACACAACTTTCAAAAATTAACCATCTTCTGGATAATAATTATTACATTCCATTGTCTGTCTACGTAGACTTACAAAGGCACCACACAGTCTTGAAACATGTGCCACTTTTCTGCTCAAACACTTAAGCTCAATTTCTTAATGTGTACGTTAAAACACTATATAATATTCAATTACATAAATATATAGCTAAATAGAAACATGGCAGCAATATGTTTGTTTCCCATGTTTAAAAGATTGTGGGTTTCTCAAAGTTAATCAGTTTAAAAAGCCAAATTTGTTTTTTCAAGAATACAATTAAACATTGCAAGTACTAACTTTTTTTTCCAGACTATCATTAACAAACTGATCCATTTTGCTTATTACCGGGTATGTGGATACTGACACAGACACTGACAGAGTTCAGGCTGCTGCCATGTGATTAAGAGTCCGAAATGACTAGAGAGTTACATTTGCAGTCCCAGAGAGATTTCCACTAAGTGGAAGTGTGAGAATAAGTTACAGTTTTAAAAATCAGATATACCCTTGCACCTCTTTGTTCATAAATATCTGATGGGCATTTTCCACCCAAAATAGACCACTTTCATCTACAATGAAGAAACCTACTGAAGTAGAGAACCATCCTTGCTCATTTCTCTAAGACTGGGGTGGGGGGGTGGTGCGGGGAGAGAGTGTGAGATCTAAGTAACTGCTTTACCTACACTTGCCATCCCACCACTGCAAAGCATTTTACCAGACTTACTCATACCTTCTCAAACACCATGCTTTCTCCAGGGTTAATATCACACTAATTGGCACATCCACACTGATGCTGATCCTCTATCTATCTAAGTATTTTCTTCTTCCCTGATTGCCGTGATCATCACTGAACAGAGTAATTGTCACAGGTTATATACATTTATCTGCTTTTTATCCTCTAGAATCCTTGAGATTTCTACTCCTGGAGTGAGTCTTACAAATTTTACATGCAAGTTTTTTCATTTTCTCATCACTATGCATTTTTATTATCTCTATCTTCACTAGAGCACTGAAGGTTAAGAGACAAGTTCAGGAGTCACAGTGAAAGTGGTGTCACTTGCTCAGTCGTGTCCAACTATTAGCAAGCCCATGAACAATAGCCCGTCAGGCTCCTCTGTCCATAGGACTTTCCAGACAGGAATACTGGAGTGGGTTGCCATTTCCTTCTTCAGGGGATCTTCCTGACCAAGGGATTGAACCCAGGTCTCCCACATTGTAGGCAGACTCTTTACCATCTAAGCTATCAGGGAAGTGTCAAGGCTCAAATTTCAGCTTACTAACACTCCTTACTAATAGCTGTGTTATCTCGCTCAAATTACTCAACCTCCCTGAGCTTCACCTTTCTCATCTGTGGGTTGAAGATAATAATAGTCCCTTCACAGGGCTGATGTGAGGATTAAATGAGCTAATGAGCAAAAAGCTACTAACATGGAACCTCAATAAGGTTAGTCACTCTGATCTCATAATAATATTCATAGGTGTAGTACTTATCATGTAAGTGATTAAGTATGTTCACTTCAAATGGTAGAAAAACCACTGATAACAATGACAGGCTTAAATAACAATGCATGACTTGCCTGCTAATAACCATCTATTAGGTGCGGATTCTTATTTCTAAAAGCTTAAAGTCTATAAGCAGAAGAGCTTCAGCATTAAAAAATGAACTGCCAACATTGAAACACTAATATTTGAGAAAGAACAAAGCAAAAATTTGGATTCGAGGAGAGGTTGCCTGTGTGTGTGCTAAGTCGCTTCAGTCGTGTCTGACTCAGTGCGACCCTATGGACTGCAGCCTGCAGGCTCCTCTGTCCATGGGATTCTCCAGGCAAGAGTACTGTAGCAGGTTGTCACTTCCTCCTCCAGGAAATCTTCCCAACCCAGGGATCGAACCTGTGTCTCTTATGTCTACCTATACTGGCAGGCAGGTTCTTTACCACTAGCACCACCTGGGAAATCCCTAGGAGAGGTTCAGTTCAATTCAGTCCAGTTCAGTTCAGTCGCTCAGTCATGTCAACTCTTTGCAACCCCATGAATTGCAGCATGCCAGGCCTCCCTGTCCATCACAAACTCCCGGAGTTTACTCAAACTCATGCCCATCAAGTCAGTGATGCCATCCAGCCATCTCATCTTCTTTCGTCCCCTTCTCCTCCTGCCCCCAGTACCTCCCAGCATCAGGGTCTTTTCCAATGAGTCAACTCTTCACATGAGGTGGCCCAAGTATTGGAGTTCCAGCTTCAGCATCAGACCTTCCAATGAACACCCAGGACTGATCTCCTTTAGGATGGACTGGTTGGATCTCCTTGTTGTCCAAGGACTCTCAAGAGTCTGCTCCAACATCACAGTTCAGAAGCATCAATTCTTCAGCGCTCAGCTTTCTTCACAGTCCAACACTCACATCCATACATGACGACTGGAAAAACCATAGCCTTGACTAGATAGACCTTTGTTGGCAAAGTAATGTCTCTGCTTTTTAATATGCTGTCTAGGTTGGTCATAACTTTCCTTCCAAGGAGTAAGCGTCTTTTAATTTCATGGCTGCAATCACCTTCTGCAGTGATTTTGGAGCCCAGAAAAATAAAGTCTGACACTGTTTCCACTGTTTCCCCATCTATTTCCTATGAAGTGATGGGACCAGATGCCATGATCTTAAGTTTTCTGAATGTTGAGCTTTAAGCCAACTTTTTCACTCTCATCTTTCACTTTCATCAAAAGGCTTTTTTAGTTCCTCTTCAGTTTCTGCCATAAGGGTGGTATCATCTGCATATCTGAGGTTATTGGTATTTCTCACAGCAATCTTGATTCCAGCTTGTGCTTCTTCCAGCCCAGCATTTCTCATGATGTACTCTGCATAGAAGTTAAATAAGCAGGGTGACAATATACAGCCTTGACGTACTCCTTTTCCAAATTTGGAACCAGTCTGTTGTTCCATGTCCAGTTTGAACTATTGCTTCCTGACCTGCATAGAGGTTTCTCAAGAGGCAGGTCAGGTGGTCTGGTATTCTATCTCTTTCAGAATTTTCCACAGTTTATTGTGATCCACAAAGTCAAAGGCTCTGGCATAGTCAATAAAGCAGAAATAGATGTTTTTCTGGAACTCTCTTACCCACTACTAAATACCCAATACTAATTTCTAACACTGTGACTATATAGTCAGTGTCAATTCCATAGTGATGAATTTAATCCAGTATTTAATGTGAAGGATGATATAGTCTCATGTAGAAAGGGGCTTCCCAGGTGGCACTAGTGATAAGTCATCTGCCTACCAGTGCAGCTTTTCTTGAATCTGAGATTTAGTTTACTTGAAATATATTCTATCCTAAAATTAGAACTACCTACAAGACACTGAAGTTTAGGTTTTGGCCAATTATTTTAAGGTTTATGTGGTAACTAAAATACAAAGGTTATATTAAAGAAATATAACAAACTACAGAGAAATATCTTTTTCGACTAACACATATTCATTTCAGGTCAGTAAGCACTGACTGAGGAACCTGAATACACAGAGCTCTTCAGGCACTCAGAGATCACAAAGGGAAGACCCAGTCTCTACTCTCAAGGAGCTTACTGTCCAGTGCAAGGAAAAACCAGTTATAGTTAAACATTTAATATGTAACTAAAGAGCCATGCTTTCAGCAACAATTTGCCACTTGTCCACTAAATGTCAGGCATATATAAGCAAGCACCATCAGGAACTGAGATAGAGGTATGAAACGTAACAGGAGACAAGTGTCATTCTGATTGAGGACTTCATGGGGTGGCATCTACACCCCAGGCTCAGACTGTGTTTGCTTTGTTGAGGTCATGGCTCTCTGAGCACAAGGTTATAGGACTACTCGATAAAGACTTAAGATATCCATGGATGTACAACTTTTTTTTAGGATCCAAAGGCCTCACATTAAAGATTTCTTGCAACTGGTTTTGTCTTCAAAGAAACAGTGTACCAGAAACCATGTGAAGACAGAATAAAGGAAAAACCATGTAATTATTGTTCTAACCTCATGTGCCTTTTCCACCACTCTTTCTAGTGTTATCTACAATGCTTTCTTCTATTCTGTAGAGCTCCAAATTTTGGAGGCAAATGTGAAGTACTAACTCACTAAATGGGTAATCCTTGTGTGCTTCTTAGATCTAATTGGACCTTCAGCTTTCATAAAAGTGTCCACTCACGTTGTCAAAGAACTCTTGATTTGTAACTCTGCTCATACCTCTAATGAAAAATAATCTTTATAACCAAGCAAAGTATTCAATAAGGTTAGTAATTTTAGAAGATAACAGGAAAGTGTATTTATTATAGCTGCAGAATACTATTCACTATTTGTTTGCAATAATGGCACTTATGCTTTTTAAATTCTAAGATAATTAGGATCAGCAGATATTTAATATGATTAACTTAAAGGTTCAATTATTAAAACTATTTAAGAACAACGAAAAAGTAATAAGGTTATAAACATATGAACTTACTCTGTATACAGATCTTCTATCATTGCAACAATAATAACAATGAGAGACACAGCAAATATCTGACATCCAGAACCAATGAGAGAGGAAAATATCAGTGGGTGACTTGATGGTCTAAATACATCTCCATGCACCTGCTTCCATCCATACTCATCTCCAAGGTCTCTATCCTATATATATATATATATATATATATATATATATATATATATATATAAGTGTTGAGAGAAAAGAAAATAATCCAGAATGAAATTAAAATACATAAAATACCTTAAAAAATTACAGCTACAGTTGTAAGTTCCCTCCCTACAAATTTAGAGCTATTAAAAATTTCAAAATATCAAGAAAAGACATTTCAAATTTAAAATAATTTCTGACTTAATAACTTATTATGTTATAAAGTGTGATAATCCTAAAACTCAGAAAGGTGGCTCCTGGTTGTACTCAGAAAATCTCAAAGAATGGAAAAAGAAAAGGTCTAGGAGCAAAAAGAAATGGTCACACAGGGAGAAAAGCCCAGCAGCTCTGAACATTACCTTCAGATGCTATTCTTGACATTACATCATAACTATGGCTCACGTATGACCAGGGCCCAGGTGGAGAACAAAAGAAAAGATTAAAACCAGTACTAGATGTCCTAGCAATGCAGAAATGCCCCTTATAGCCTGAAGCCTAAGAAAATACATGGGGAATATATTAAATAGTTAAATATTATTTAACTGTCTATCAGTCAGTTCAGTCACTCAGTCATGTCCTATTCCTTGCGACCCCATGAATGGCAGCACACCAGGCTTCCCTGTCCATCACCAACTCCCAGAGTTTGTGCAAACTCATGTCCATTGAGTCAGTGATGCCATCCAGCCATCTCATCCTGTTGCCCTCTTCTCCTCCTGCCTTCAATCTTTCTCAGCATCAGGGTCTTTTCTAATGAGTCAATTTTTTGCATCAGGGGGCCAAAGTACTGAAGTTTTAGCTTCAGCATCAGTCCTTCCAATGAATATTCAGTATTGATTTCCTTTAGGATGGAACTGTTGGATCTCCTTGCAGTCCAAGGGACTCTCAAGACTTCTCCAACACCACAGTTCAAAAGCATCAATTCTTTGGTGCTCAGCTTTCTTTATGGTCCAATTCTCATATACATACATGACTACTGGAAAAACCATAGCTTTGACTAGACGAACCTTTGTTGGCAGAGTGATGTCTCTGCTTTTTAATATGCTGTCTATAGTGCTTTTCTAAACAAAACATTCAATTATGACTTTTCAACCTGAGTAAGCAAGTATCTAAAACAGTGTTTCTTAACAAATATCAATCAGTCCCTCAAGATAATCTCTGGGTTTCTTTTGGTGGTGGCAGCGGAGGGGGAGTGGTCTGGGTCAGCTATATTTGAGAGGCAGCAAATATTTCATGTTTTCATACTGTTTATGGGGTTCTCAAGGCAAGAATACTGCAGTGGTTTGCCATTCCCTTCTTCAGTGGACCGTGTTTTGTCAGCAACTGAACTGAACTGAAATAGTTCATCGGGCCTCTGATATTTCACAAGACACATATGCATATTAAAGTTTTAATTTAACTGTTTTCAAAGTTTATTTAATGATGGAGCATATCTACACAGAATATTCATTAACAACTGAATCACTCTGCTGTACATTTGATGCTAACACAACATTATAAATTAACTACACTTCATTTTTTAAAAAGGGGAAAAAAAAAAGAATAGCCATTAACATTCCCTGATGGTCAGGACTCTGTGCTTTCACTGTCAAGGGCATGGGTTCAACCCCTTGTCGAGGAGCTAAGATCCTACAAGTCGTGCAGTGTGGTCAAAAAAATTAACAAACAAACAAACCGCACTTTTGCTCATTTATATAATTTCTATGTAGATTTCTATATAATTTCTGTTCTATAATTTAGTAAAAATAATTTCAAAAGCAAACCTCTGAACCATCTGAACTAAATGTAAATCAATCCTTCCACCAACTCTTAATTTCATGCAATATTTAGCAGCATTAGAAAGATACCAATACAAGTTGACAACCTCCTAGCTGCAATTCTGAAATCAAAAGCTCTGAAAAGTGAGTCTGTTTCACAAGCTTGACATATCCTTCTCTGGTGGCAAATCTCAAGACTGAACTAACAAGAGATTACTTACACTGTTGATTTTATTCGTCCCACTTAGGGTGAACATTCATGTTTTGCTGAAAACACATTAATGTATTTGATTGTAGGACATTTAATCAGGGCAACTTAAAAACATTAAAATATTTGATTAGAGACCCCTCTGGGAGTTTATATCTTTCTAAAGCCTGAAAATTCTGAATTCTAAAAATCAGCTGATCTCAGGATTATAAACCTACTTCCAATATTCAAAAACACTTGAGTTCAATTTTTTTGTAAATACAATGTATTAATAAAACGTTTGCTTACCATGTCATCCATTTCTTCTTCTTTACTATACCGGGCATAATCTTTTCTTAAAGTTCTCATTAAAATCATTGAAACTAAGCCCACCAAGAAGATAACCATCATGAAGGAGTTAAAAATTGAAAACCAGTGAATCTAGAATAACAGAAAATAAAGTATTACTTACATGAAATACCAGTTACAAAATTTACAGGTTTCATGATGACAATGGAATGTTCATGCAAAAGAAAAAAAAAACACACACACACAAAAATCTTCTAAAACTTTTACATGAAAATCCAAAATTAAAATACACTGAAGAAGAGTAATCAAAGAGATTGGTTTTCTTTCCAGTAATCTTCAGATGCATTAAAAGTATGATACTGTATATATAGATTATCACAATCAAATTGTATAAATAAAGTACAATCTGGCCACATGAAGTATGCTATTCAGTATTACAGAGAAAGAAAATGGGTTTTGGAGTCAAAACATAGTTTAAACACAGGCCCTGAGCCCCAGTTTTCCTTCATCAAAGATGAAGGAAATGATACTGTATCGTAAGTGATTTGTACATTTTAATATATATGTAAGCCACAAGTCACCATTGTCTGGCACAGGTCAGTGAATACTCAATAAATATTAGTTCCCTCCCCTCTAACTTAGCAACAACCTGAAAACCTCATCAAAATAACAAGACTAAACCATCACAGTTGGGTGCTGTGGACTTAAGCCACCTTGTATCCATAGTACAGAGAACTCTGATGTACTCCATAGTTTGGCAACGTCCCCAAGGCTCTTGACTTTGATTTCACCCATACATTTGTCAAAAAATTACATTCAGATGCAGCACATCTGACTCAACTGTGTCTCTGGCACTGTCCATCAATTTCTTTACATTTTAATTCCCCAAAATTCTTCCTTATGGGTAGTTTCAAATTTTCTCTTCTCTCTCATTTCATTTTTTCCCCTTCCTCTCCATTCCCATGCCATCACCTCTCACCTGATAGCTCTAATGGCCTCCTACGTGATGACCTTTATGTTTGGTCTTTCCCCTTCCTTTCAGTCTATCCTGTAACAGTTAATCCAGTACATCTTTCTGAAACATCATGTTCATATATCATTTCTCTGTTCTAAAACCTACAGTAACAGTCCCTATTTTTTCACATATCAAAGTGAAAGTGTTAGTCGCTCACTCATGTCCAACTCTTTTGCAACCCCATGGATAGTAGTCCACTAGGTTCCTCCGTCCATGGGATTTTCCAGGCAAGAATACTGGAGTGGGTTGCCATTTCCTTCTCCAGGGGATCTTCCTGACTCAGGGATCGAACCTAGGTATCCTGCACTGCAGGCAGACTCTTTACCTTCTGAGCCACCAAGGAAGCTTGCATATCAAACCTAAACTATTCACATATAAAGTTTATCACAAAAGTATCTCTTAAGATTTATAAATGCACTATATAAAAATAGGTTTTTTACAAAGATTTGCTTTTGTTGCTACTCTGGAAATTAATGACCCAGAAAAGGACGAGAGAAAAATTTATACATACATATATGTGTACATATATATACACACACACACTCACACACACAACTCATAACTTTTTTCAGTCAATTTATTGAATTTTTGAAAAGAAGTTTTATATAGTTACTGTTTGGTAATAAGAAAGATATGCCCCCAAATGTTAAAGTTTCTAGCAAAGCTCTCTAATCAAAGCAAAGCTTTCTAATCAAAGATGCAAACTTTAATACCTATTATAATGAACTACTAATAACCTGACATTTTATAATATTCCTTTATCCCCCAAATTATAAAATGTTGTATGATTCTGAAGTTATTAACCAAGGGAAATATTTCTTTAAAACAATAAAGAAATGAGATGTCACACAGCAGTGACTAACCCTATGAACTGCTGCCTCCAGCACCCTCTAGTGTTGCTAATCCTAAAAGTAGCACTCCAGGTTTACCACAAACATTAGAACAGTGGAGATTAATATACCACCAGTGCTGCTTCTTCCTGAACACCTGCTATGGAAGGTTTTATACCAGAGGTTTTATAAACATGGTCAAATGGAGTTTCACAACAACTCTGCAAAGTAGTAGAGTTGCAACCTCCGCTTCACTGCTGAAAAGAAGCTAAAGAACTGAGTCCTCTCATCAAGGTTACAGTAAATGACAAAGACAGTTTACTTGCAGTTGGAGCTCCAAAGTCTGTGCTGGTAAGTCACTGTATAACAAACAATCCCAATGCTTCACAGTAGATCCCATCTATTACTGCCTACTCAAGGAAAAAGGTTCATCAATTCTCCCCATCTTCGGCATCGTCAGTTTTGTATTCTTTACGGAACCCCATCAACATACAAATGTGTTTTCCTTACATTTCAAAAAACAAAACAAAAAACACCCCAACTCCCTCCTGATCCCATCTTTCCTGCTGACTACTGCACCATTTCTTCACTCCCATTAGTAGCCAGACTTGTTGCCTCCAATTACTCTCCCCTCATTCTCTCTTACACCAGCTCTGTTGAGATTGTGCAGTTACTGTCAGTACTCATCTTACTGACCCATCAGCAACAATTCAGAACTAATCTTTCTATCCTCCATGACAGACTTTCTTCTCTTGGCTTTCAGGATACCATATAATTCTCTTTTCACACCATACAAGTATCTCTTCAGAGCTCCGAGCTGGTTTCTGCTTTTCTCTCTAACTTACACTACTGCTCCCAGTGCTCAGTTCTCAGCGCTCTTCTATTTCTATACATCCTTTCTTGGTAACTGCATTCAGTCTCACAGCTTTAAATACTACTTATATGCCAATGACCACAAAACTTCTATCTATAACCCAGTCCTCTCTCCTGAACTCCATTTGACAGATCCAGCTAGCTGGTCATTGTCTCCATCTGGATGTCCTGAACACTTCAAAACTACTATGTCCCAAACTGTACTCTGATCTTCCCCTCCAACTCTCCAAACACAGCTTTGTGCCCCAAAGACAGCAGCTCCACTTTAACAGGTGCTCAGGCCCCTCTGAGCTCACATCTGAAATCAGCATTATGGTTAAACCTTTGAGATTCACAGCCCTCACACTGTGCCCTACAAATGGCAATTGCTTACTGTGTGACTGACTGAAGCACATACTGAATGTCTTAAAGTACACAATGCACCTACCCTGTGTTGAAAAAAGGATGGATCAAGATATTTGTCAAATCGATCTTCAAATTTTACATCTGATTTTTTCCATTTTACCTGAAAAAAAATTTTTTTTAATATCAAGGACAGTAAACAATACTCTGAGCAAAATTTGAAAAGATTTACACTTTTAAGAAATTTGAGAAATAGTAGAAAGTTACTACAAATCTGAGAAGTTGAAATATATGATTAAAAAAACTACCCAACTTCCCTCTTTGTGTATTAACAAAACTTACGACTTTACTTAAGAATGATCATTTCAGTTTTCAAGGACTATTACCTGTTAAATTCTCTGACCTCATAAATGTGATAATAATTAATTAGACAAAATAAATAATCTGAACATCTTTGTCTAATCTAGATTGCATTAGTTTTATTACAAAGATCATGTTTCTTTATAAATACAGCTATGCAAATATTATTTGTACTAGGTACATGTGCACAAACCTTGAAAAACTTTCAAAACTATCTAATAGCAATGGACTCATTCTAGTTACCAGGAAAAGAAACTCGCGAAGAGAGAGGCTATCTACATCAGTTTCTCTTCTTTCCACTACTTTTAATCATAATAGAAAAGAATTAACTTGACAGCTGCAAAGGGCTCTTACTCTGCAAGAGCATCTTATTCCATCTGATAAAGCAAAATATGGTAAACTATACTCATCCAGAAATTTTCAACATAGCATCATCTCTTAATCTGCAACACTTAAAAGCAAAGACAAGGAGCACTGCTAAAAAGTAACCATAAGAATACATGGCTGGGTTAGCTAACTGCTCAGTTATAATGGTAAACTTTGCTGAAGCAACTGGTAAGTAGGTCCTGCCATTGCATAACAGGTGTCTATTACTACAGACCTAAAGTAAATCTCCTTGTTTTCAGGAGGCTTACTTACAGACACTGGGGAAATATAGTCTAATAAAATTTTTACTATATAAATTAAATACTGAGCAGTATTTCTGTTGCATCCCATTTCAAGCTACATTTTCATTTACTGAAGCTGTAAAACTTTATTTTTGATGTTAAGTTACAAACACTTCTTCCTGTATACAATTATTTTAATACTTACTGAATATGACATCTGGATTTTAGTATTGGGAACCAGTTTCACCTTTCCTTCACTAGTAAGATTAACATCAACAATTCGATTTCCATTAAAGCCTATTTCAAGTTTTTTATAGGTCCAAAGATAATAATCTTCTCCATTTTCATCTGCTTCACCAACTATACCTACAAGAGAAATAACACTTCACGCAGGTATGTAACATCACTTAATATTTAAAACACATTAGAAACTAAAAGTTCAGTAAAAAGCATTTTTATAAAAAACAGCAACATTACTATTATTCCTTACAGTTAGAACAAGGAAAAGCTGCAGGCTGGACTTCTCTTTGTTAACTATCTCTTTGTTAACTACTTGGCAAATACAAACCATTTTCACTTCATGGTAAAAAAGTGATGAACAGCTAAGCATAATCTATCATTAATTTGATCCTCAAAGTTCATACTTTGATCCTCAAAGTACACCTTCACTGTAATAATTATGACCATATACTTTATGTTCCCTGATATCTCAAAATTTCAAGGAAGCACTATATTACCATTTGGCAAGATTCTCAGTTTAGTGGCCAAACTAAAATTAAAACCAAGGTTTCCAGAGTTCCAGTCTCATATTTTCTCTAATAACCTATGATCAATCCATTCCTAATAGTTGTACATATGTATATACACATTAGTCACTCAGTCATGTCCAGCTCTTTGTGACCCCATGGGCTGGAGCCCACAAGGCTCCTCTGTGCATGGAATTCTCCAGGCAAGAATACTGGAGTAGGCTGCCATTTTCTTTCCAGGGGATCTTCCTGATCCAAGGATCAAACCCGGGTCTCCTACACTGCAGGCTGATTCTTTACCATCTGAACCACTAAGGAAGCCTAACTTAAAATGCCTCCTCTTTATACCTCAAGTCTTAGAATTATCCCTAGGATTTTGTCAACAAAATGACAGAAGTGCTGAAGATAAATGGTAATGAGGCAATAGTTAAAATGATCATTTTGATCACAATTTGGGACACTGAAGGAGAAGACCCAAACAAGGAATCAGGTAGTAGCTGAGGACCATCTCTGGTGCCCTCATATTGTCAGTTAGTTATCCAATGTTCCCTATACCCAAGCCTATAAATTCATTAGAAATCTTAGGTTCTAAAAGTTACTCCTTGGGTCTTCCCTCTATGGTCAGTGCAACTCATGAAAGCATTAGGGGGAAAAAAAAGATCATTTTTTTATTAAGAATTATTTGCTTATTAACCAAAACTGCTCTAACTGGTACAAGCTTAAGGAATACAGATGCATTTTGTCTGAGGTTGTAGAGGGATAATAAAATCTACCTAATAATTAATTTCATGGAAGTTTATTTACGTATCTTCTCTGAAAACTCTGAGGGTGGAGACACAATTACACTATATAGGAAAGTATTCTCTGAGGGACTTTTAAAAGATCTAAAACCCTTTATCCCAAGAAAAGCCAGGTAAAGATTTGTTTCTGACAAGGTTTTCCATGGTTCAGACATTCGAGGACATTCAAAAGTATCTGCCCTAAATATGGCAGAAACCCAGAGCTAAAAAAGATTTATGTTAAGACAGGAAAACACAGCTGCCATGTTGCTATGGAGGCCGAAGAAATGACTGGAAAAGCCGCAGGTTCCAGGCAGGAAACCCATAAGCAATGCAAAAGAGCAGGAGAGAGACTTACTCTCTCACCAAATGGAGGAAACCCAGATTAAAGGGTTCTCCTAAACTACAGGCCCAGAAATCTTCAGCGCATATTCAGCAGAGCTTCCAGCTATCCTCAGTGCTGATCACAGAAATGTCTGTTATACTAATTACAGTCACTTACATGAAATGCTTCCTATTTATACCTAATTAACATGCAACACAGTAATGATGCTGCATGCAATTATATCTTGAGAGTAACTTTCTTATAAATTCCATCTTAGCCATAGTGTTAGTCACTCAGTCATGTCCAACTCTTTGTGACCCCATGGACTGTGGTCTGCCAGGCTCCTTCCTCTCTCCATGGGATTCTCCAGGCAAGAATACTGGAGTGAATCGCCATTCCCTTCTCCAGAGGATCTTCCCAACCCAAGGATCGAACCCAGGTCTCCTGCATTGCAGGCAGATTCTTTACCGTCTGAGCTATAGGGAAGATCCTTAATTCCATCTTAGTACCATATTAAACTCTGAGTTGATATGTTCAGTCTTGCAATTTGCTTCTCATGAATACATCAGTCTGCTAATAATTTTAAGAATTAGAATATTAACTGTACATACTAACTATATATAAGAACAAATGTCCAAAGATCAAAAAACAAACAACAACAAATGCCACTAAGAGAAAAATGTGATCAAACATGCTGGCTATGACAGATGGCTGTGCTTTTGTATATTGAGTAATTTAATCAAGTCCAGCACAAACAATGTTTGGATTTTGCATAAACTGATACTACTATTCCATTGCTCCTCTCTATCAACAGAGATGAACACGGACATACAATATAAAAAAATAAAACATAATAAAGTTAAAAAAATTTTTTTAAATAATAGACTTTTGGAAAATAACACAGAACTAGCAAAACAAGTCATTCAGGAGACTCTTGTACCTAAAAATCATACCACCACAGTTCTGCATGAGATAAAGCCAGAATATAATTTTAAAATCCTATTCAGTCCCTTTGATTGTATTTGATAAATCAAAATAAGATATGAGAAAAATGGGGGCAAGAGGAATATTTCAGACTGTTCAAAGCACCTTTTAATTTCTTGAATATGAATATTTTTACTGTATAAAAGTTATATTTTCAGGAATTTTCATAGAAAGTTTGACACAATGTCAAAAATCTTTCAAGTAACAGGAGACCATATAAAACTGGTGTTAAAATAATTCTGTGGAAGAGTGAAAACACATTTATTGATTCAGTGTATAATCACCTGAATAGTCATTACAGAAATCTTGCTGATTATGCAAATAGCCCACAAACTTTAAATGTAACATACAGTACTTACCCCATATTGGTAAGTCATCTATGTACATCTGGTACCAGTAGTGATTTTTGATAGCATACACAAATGCATCTCTCTTTTCTTTATCTAAGTCAATTTCACAGTAAGTGCCTGGCATCACATCATCTACATAAAATAAAAACTGCAAATCAGCACTCTCGCTTGCGGAAGAGTTACAGGAAAATTAGCACACACAAAAACAACATTTACTGAAGTTGAAATTTCTACTCATAACAGTTGAACCTGGGTGATATATATATGGGAATTCAGTATACAATTCTTTCCTCTTTTGTGTATGTTTAAGATTTTCACAATAAAAGAATTTTAATCATCTTTATTTTTCAAAGATATCTTATTAGTGAAGAATGCATCTCTTATAGAAAGAAAATTATATAGAACATTTACAGGAATACTTTCAAATGAATAAACTGATTTTAAAACAAAAATGAAAAGCTTAAAACACATAGGAGAGCTTCATTTTATACAAAAACTCAAGAATATAATTCCAAGTAAAGCCAACAATGTCTAGCTGTAAGATCTTTGTGATAAGTATTCATTTGAGCATTCTTAGAAGTACAAGTCACCGGAGGCTTCAGATTCTATGAAAAATGCCAGTGACTTTTCCTAATTCGGAAAACTAAAAGGTAAACCTCTACCCAGTGGGTATCACTGTATATAAACTACTGGAAAGTTCCCTCGAGATGAGTCATCTCCATTCTTGACTGCTTTTAAAAATACTGTTATCTGAAAATACTGTTCAGATGCTTTCTAACTTATAACCCTTTCAAAAATGTGCTTAGGATCATTAGTTTCTACACAAAACAAAACAAAATCTGAAAAACACTCTACATGACCAACCAAAGGATTGAATTTTTTTTTTTTTATGTTACTTAAGCAATGAGGGGAAAAAAGAGAGAAATCAACCTTAACAACAGCAACAAAAAAGAAAGCATAGGTGTTTGTTTTTAAGTTCTCCTGTACTAGAATACTGGTTATTTAGAAAATGAAAAACAACTTCCTCCAAGAAACAATGTTAAATTTCTCAAATTTCTCAATGCTGATTAAAACAACTTGTTACATAAATTGCAGCCAAACCATAGTTAACAGCCATCTATAAGGTTATTTAGACCAGAAGTAACAATCTGAGGTGTAACTCCAGATACCACCACCATGTCTCCCCAGTCCTCAACAGAGAGAACAGCTTCCCCTCATTACTGCTCAGCCCAGAGTGGATAACCAAAGATAGCAAGAAACACTGAAGTCCCATGAAAGAGGGACAGGGTAATACTCTCACTCTCAAAGTGGGAGAAGAAAATTGCTTTGTATTCAACAACAGGCAAGTTTGGCCTTGAAGAACAAAATGAAGCAGGGTGAAGGGCTAACTCATTTCTGCCAAGAGAATGCATTGGTCACAGCAAATACCCTTTTTCAACAACACAAGAGAACTTTACATATGGACATCAACAAATGGTCAATACCAAAATCCAATTGATTACATTCTTTGTAGCCAAAGATAAAGAAGCTGTATACAGTTAGCAAAAACAAGACCTGGAGCTGACTGTGGCTCAGATTATCAGCTTCTCATAGCAAAATTCAAGCTTAAACTAAAGAAAGCAGGGAAAACCACTAGGCCAGCCAGGTAAGACTTAAATTAAATTCTCTGTGAATATGCAATAAAGGTAACAGATTTAAGGGATTAAAACTTGTGAACAGTGTGCCTGAAGAACTATGGAAGAAGGTCCATAATATTGTACAGGAAGCAATGAACAAAACCATCTCAAAGAAAAAGAAAAGCAAGAAGGCAAAGTGGTTATCTGAGGAGGCCTTAGAAATAGCTAAAAAACAGAAGAGAAGTGAAAAGCAAGGAAGAAAGAGAAAGATATATCCAACTAAATGCAGATTTCCAAAGAACTGCACAGAGACACAAGAAGGCGTTCTTCAATGAACGGTGTATAAAACTAGGAGAAAAAAACAGAAGGGGAAAGACTGGAGATCTCTTCAGAAAACTGGAGGTATCAAGGGAACATTTTGTCAAAGAAGGGCACAATAAACATCAGAAACGGTAGAGACCGAGTAGACGCTGAAGAGATCAAGAAAAGATGGAAATAATGCACAGAAGAACTGTACAAAAAGGATCCAAATGAACTGAATTACTACAATTGTGTGGTCAGTCATCGAGAGCAAAAATTCTGGAGAGCAAAGTCAAGTGGGCCTTAGGAATAAAACTTAGATAATAATAATAATAAATAATTAATTAATATTAATAATAATTAGTTAATAAAGCTAGTGGATGCGACAAATTCCAGTAGAACTATTCAAAACCCTAAAGGATGATGCCATCAAGGTGTTGCATTCAATATGTCAGCAAATCTGGAAGACCCAGCGGTGGCCATGGGACTGGAAAAGGTCATTCCTCACCCCAATTCCCAAGAAGGGTAGCACTAAAGAATGTGCTAGCCATCAGACAACCGCACTCATCTCCCACGCCAGGAAAGGAAGCTGCTCCGTTGTGTCCAGCTCTCTGGGACCCCAGGGACTCTGGCCCACCAGGCTTCTCCATCCATGGGGTTCTCCAGGCAAGAACACTGGTGTGGGTTGCCATTCCCTTCTCCAGGGGATCTTCCCAACCTAGGGACTGAACTCGGGTCTTCCACATTACGGGCAGATTCTCTACTGTCTGAGCCACCAGGGACGCCCCTTATGCTAGTAACATCATGCTTAAAATCTTCCATGCTAGGCTAAAGCGTTATGCAAACCAAGAACTTCCAGATGTCCAAGCTACGTTTAGAAAAGGAAGAGGAACCAGAGATCAAACTGCCAACATTCGCTGGATTATAGAGAAAGCTAGGTAATTCCAAAAAAGCATCTACCTGTTTCATCGACTACACCAAAGCCTTTGACTGTGTGGATCATAATAAACTGTGGGAAGCTCTTAAAGAGATGGGAATACTAGATCTTTTTACCTGTTTCCTGAGAAACCTGTATGTGGGTCAAGAAGCAACAGTTAAGACTCCAGTATGGAACAACTGACTGGTTCAGGACTGAGAAAGGAGTAGACAGGGCTGTCTGCTATCTCCCTGTTTGTTTAATCTATATGCTGAGCACATCACAAGGAATGCCAGGCTGGATGAGTTACAGGCTGGAATCAAGAGAGGTGGGACAACAACTTCAGATACGCAGATGATACCACTCTAATGGCAGAAAGCGAAGAGGAACTAAAGAGGCTCTTGATGAGGGTGAAGAAGGAGAGTGAAAGAACTGGCTTAAAACTGAATATTGAAAAAACTAAGATCATGGCATCCGGCCCCATTCAGTTCAGTTCAGTTCAGTCGCTCAGTCATGTCCGACTCTTATTAAGACCCAATGAATCACAGCACGCCAGGCCTCCCTGTCTGTCACCAACTCCCGGAGTTTACTCAAGTCTATCGAGTCGTTGATGCCATCCAGCCATCTCATCCTCTGTCGTCCCCTTCTCCTCCTGCCCCCAGTACCTCCCAGCATCACGGTCTTTTGCAATGAGTCAACTCTTCGCATGAGGTTGCCCAAGTATTGGAGTTTCAGCTTCAGCATCAGACCTTCCAATGAACACCCAGGACTGATCTCCTTTAGGATGGACTGGTTGGATCTCCTTGCAGTCCAAGGGATTCTCAAGAGTCTTCTCCAACACCCTAGTTCAAAAGCATTAATTATTTCATGGCAAATAGAAGGGGAAAAGGTGGTAGTAGTGACAGATTTCCTCTTCTTAGGCTCTAAAATCACTGCAGATGGTGACAGCAGCCATGAAATCAGAAGATATTTGCTTCCTGGCAGGAAAGCTATGACAAACCTAGACTGTGTGTTTAAAAGCTAAGACATTACTCTGCCAGCAAAGATCTGTATAGTCAAGGCTATGGTCTTCCTAGGGGTCACAACGTACGGTTGTGAGAGCTGGACCATAAAGAAGGTGGAGCACCGAAGAATTGATGCCTTTGAACTGTGGTGCTGGAGAAGACTCCTGAGAGTCCCTTCGACAGCAAGGAGATCAAACCAGTCAATCTTAAGGGAAATCAACCCTGAGTACTTGTTGGAAGGACTGATGCTGAAACTGAAACTCCATTATTTTGGTCACCTGATGTGAACAGCTGAGTCACTGGAAAAGGCCCTGATGCTGAGAAAGATTGAGGGCAGAAGGAGAAGAGGGTGTCAGAGGATGAGATGGCTGGATGGCATCACTGAAGCAGTACACATGAACTTGGGCAAACTTTGGGAGATGGTGGGGGACAGAGAGGCCTGGCGTGCTCCAGTTCATGGGATTGAAAAGAGTCAGACATGACGGGGCGACTGAACAACAGCAACAATCCAACAACAGTGGCTCCTATACATGCCTTCTTTCTACCCAGGCCCTTTCAAGGCAGCAAGAAATTTAGGGTTTTCATAATGGCCAAAACTGAGACTGAGCACAGGAGAAGGAAGAGAGAATTAAGAAAGAGATTACTACAAAAGGAGCTAAGAGAACTGCCAGCAAGAGGGCTCCAAATGGGATTTCCAGATTGTGTTAATGCACCAAGGGCAGCAGGCAACTGGAGCTACAGAGGGGAGAGCCAGAGCCACAGGAAGGTCCAGGTTGAGCAGCAACAAATGGCCCCAGTGGCCATGGGAGAACTCACAGCTACCTCTGCAAGGCCATCAAATTCAGTCTGTTAAATCAGACATTCACTGATAACTGTCATTAACAATGCAGTAGTTTCCCCGATGAAGTTATGAGGTATACAATATGACATTTACCCATATAAAGCTTTGAAAAGATTCCTCACAGTCTGAACTTTAGCTTAACCCTCTCCTTCCCAACTATCTACCATCCTCTCTCCCTATACTCCAGCGAAAGTCAACCACCTGCAGTTCCCACACACCTTGTGCTCCCGGGGCCTCTGGATTTTTCTGTTTGTACGGTAAACCCCACTTCACGTGTCTATCCTAGAATCTTTCCCATTCCTCAGCCCTGTCCCCCGCAGAGTGATCTCTGATTCCCCAACCCTTTCACTGCTCAAACCATACAGCCTGCCCCTTCACTGAAGCCCCATGGCTTTCTTTCCATACCTCCTACAGCACCTAGGCCTGCACCACCTAGAATCTTACACCAGTACCTC